TGTTACAAACAGCGATGTGTTGGAATGATTCCACATAGGCAATGCAAACAGTGGCAGATAGGTCTACATGACTCCATTTTGTTGCTTACATCACCGAAGACACGATCGAAAAGGAAAGTCTTCAGACAGGACTTGAAGGAAGCAAGAGAGGGGGGGTCAGGCGGAGGGACTGCGAGATAGAGTTCCAGAGTGTGGGCAGAGTGTTTCTGACTCAGAAGCTACCTGTGTGCCAGGTTGATGCAGGGTGTTTATAGTAGGTTTAAAGTCTGGCTTATGATTGACTTCTTTGACCACTCTTTTCAGGGTATCAAGGGATATGGGGCAAAGGCAGGTAATTGGAATTGAGGTACAGATCAGCCATGATCTAACAGAATGGCAGAACAGGTTCGAGGAGCTGAATGGCCAACTCCTGTTCCTATGTTCCTAGGCCAAGAGAAATAACAGTATTATCTCTCATCATTAGATATTGTTAGCCAGTGGATATGACAGGATCACCAACACATGGCTGACCAGCCAGGGCCCAGAGCTCCCTTCAAGGTTTCATAACCTCCAGGAAAGATTGTAGTGGAAAGGTAGTGCATTCTACTCTTTATCAAGGAGAAACTACAGGCCCAAGTCTACAGGACATGTCCGCAGCCGACACAAAGTCAGAAATACAGGAGACTGCAAGCTCCAGGCCCATTAGCCTCACTTTAGTAACAGAGAAACTATTCCTTATTCCTGACACTGGGTGTTTATCAGCCTGGCTCAGTTGGTCCTCTCATCAGAAGATTGTGGATTCAGGCCCCAAGTAAGTCTAGGCTGACAATCTAATACATTGCTGGTGGGGGGCGGGCAGGACAGGACTGCACTGTTGGAGGTGAGATGAGATGTTAAACCAAGATCCCGTGGTACTGTTCAAATCGAGAACAAAATAAAGCGCCCCAATCCGTTATTTTCCATGAGGGGTGCTATATAAATCCAAGATGTTATTGTTGTTCTGGCCAACAAGCCCCCAGATAAATTTTGTCATTCACTTCACAGCGGTTTGTGGGACATTGCTGGGCAAATTGGCTCCTGTATTCACCTAGAAAGCAGTCACTACACTTTACAATAAATCTCCAGTTCAGTGGGACCTGGTTTCTAATATTCATCAATGACATTATAGGAATAAATAGCATTACAGTTATGTTCACTGATGCTAACATCAGTGCAAGGTAGAACCCAGCAAAAGGGCGGACTTTGTAAGCTGATAAACAGGATGTTCAGAAGTTCAATGCAAAATGGGTTCATTGCAAAGTAGAACCCAGTGAACAGGCAGACAAACAGGATGTTCAGAAGGGCAGAAAGCAACAATATGTCCTTTAATATTTGGCAGAGTGGTGTAATGGCACCAAATTCTCAGTTTCACAACCGTATAGATAGGGTTCACCTCAAGGTGGTTGACAGGAAAGGTTGGAGTGATCATTGATCACTAAGAAGTCTCAAAAACTGAGGTGGCAACTGACAAAATGCTGGGATTCATGGGGCCTACACATCTAGAATCCATTCTGACAGTGTAGCATGCTCTTGTGTATTTAACCTTTAAATTTCCCCATCTGAAACCCTATAAACCCAGCCAATCCCTCCGCTTAGTAGGTACCTGCTGATTCACTTCCCCTGTCCCACCTGCCCAACACTGGCAATCGGGCTTTCATTGCCTCCGCGCCCATTCTCTGGAACTCCATCTTGGAGTGTCTTTCACTTGCCCCTTCCCTTGCCTCCTTAAAGGTTCAACTCAAGACCTTCTTCCTCTATGATCATGGTTTTAGCCATCTTTACCCGCTCAACCTCTCCCGATTAAGTGAAAATCCTGGAATATTCAGGGCCTTGGGGTATCCTGATACAAAAGGCACTATGTAAATGTCACTTTGTATTGCAATCTGTATTGTATTGCGTGACCACACCCAGAGTACTGTATCCAGTGCCAGGTGCCACAACTGGTAAAGTATGTGAAAATACTGCAAAATGTGCAGGGGAGGGTCACTGACCCCCTCTCTCCCAAAATTTGGTCTCAATGAAAGACTTGAGGGACTAGGCCTGTTCATGTTACAGTAGAGGAGATTAATCTTATTGATGTACAAAACATTCTGAAAGGATTTGAAGTAAAACCAGCAAGATCATCACAGTTCACTAAGGCTCCAGAACCAAAGATCACCCCTTAAGGTGGAGAACAATAATTTCTGGTTAGGCACGAGGAAACAAGTGCAACTGGTTCCCAAGTTTATGTCTGTGCAAATAGCATCTCCTTGTTAAGGCAGCAGCATACCATGAGGACATTGCTAACAGCATACCATGAAGGCATTAATAACAGCAGCTACAGACAGGAGTCTATATATAATAATCTTTGCATCTGATATAGCGACATATCACATCACTGAGATGTCTCAAAGCGCTTCACAGAATATACTATGAAGTGAATTAACTGTATATTTTGTAGGCGAAACACGACAGCCAATTGCGCACAGCAGTGTCCCATAAACAACCGTGGATAGTTACCAAATTGTTATTTTTTAAGGGATTATTACACCTGGAAAGCAATCCGTCAATCGACTAATAACTATGTTCCTACAACAACAACTTGCATTTGGATAGCATCCTTCACGCATAATAGCCTCCTGAAGCACATCCTACTTCCTGCTAGGTAAACCGAGGCGAGTAAGAAAACCTGCTCGAGAATTGAACCCAGGTTCTCTCTCTAACAAGTGCTCTTAACCAATAAGCTATAGGACTCCACGGCAGCTACAGACAGGAGTGTAATGACGATAACATGAGGACACAGTAAGCGGCAGCGCGGGGAGAGGCCAGGCCCCACGCCGCAGCCTGGGCCTTCCCTCGCACCTGCCGAACGCGAGGTAAACTCCAGTGTTAAAATATTTTAACGTTTTTTAAATAACCTTCGCTATCTTCAGGTAATGCCTGAAGGCCTTCCTCTTCGACTGTACCTTCGGGCACCTCCCCCTGGCTTGGCGTCATGCTTTGTCACTGTGAAGCTTTCTGGGACACTACCCTCGTTAGGGGTGTTATATAAATGCAAGTTGTTGTTGTGTGTTAGGCAGATAAAGTACAGTCCTTGTGTTGCTGGGGGGGCTCTCCTGGAGCTTGCTCGATTGCCTATGGGAGTCGGGGACACATTCTTCAGGGTATTCTTCTTCCCTCCCACTGCCCACATTTTCTTCCCCTCTGATTTTTCGCCTCCTTTGGGAGGGAGCAAAATGCCCAATAGCACCGAGATGTGTTGTTGTATTGCCTTGTGTGGCAACCCTTCTGCGTTTTTTTAAAAAACCTACATTTTTATAGCACCTTATCACATTGAAACCTCTCATAGGAAAGTAGTAATTCGACAGTCAAATGTGGCAGCCATTTTACACCAGAAAGGTCTCTCACCATGAGGTGAACAACCAATTGGCCAAGACGTCAGGAGAAACACCCATCGCTTCTCTTTTCCAGCAGACCTAGACAAATTCTCCATGAAGCTCCAGCTAATCCAGCTCAGCATGGACTGGGATTCGAACCGGCGAGCTCCAGGTCTGTAAGTGTCCACTACACCATTGAGAGCCACCCCATCACAGGAACGTTCACACATGTCATAATAGGCATCCAGGGCATTGATTTTAACCTCTCGTGGGCAATGCAGCGCTCACCTGATGCTGTCATTCGAATGTCAGCCAAGACTGTGACCCAAACCCCCGATAGGGGTTCAAACCCACAACCTTCTGACCTGGAGGTGAAAGTGCGAATAACTGAACCCCCGCACAGTGTGGGCCAGACTCAAGGTAAACTACAAGTGGCGAGTCAGGCATTGGGCGGCCAGGGAGGAGGGTCAGTGACTATTTAGAGGGCTGGACAGGGGGTCAGTGTCCGAGGGGCGCGTCAGTGGCCTGGGGGGAGGTGGTCAGTGGCCGGTGGGTGGGGGGGGAAAGGGGGTCAGTGGCCGGTGGGGGGGAGGGAAAGGGGGTCAGTGGCAGGTGGGGGGAGGGAAAGAGGGTCAGTGGCCGGTGGGGGGGAAGGGGGTCAGTGGCCGGTGGGGGGGAAGGGGGTCAGTGGCCGGTGTGGGGGAAGGGGGTCAGTGGCTGGTGTGGGGGAGGGAAAGGGGGTCAGTGGCCGGTGGGTGGGGGGGAAAGGGGGTCAGTGGCCAGTGGGGGGGAAGGGGGTCAGTGGCCGGTGGGGGGTCAGTGGCCGGTGGGGAGGAGGGAAAGGGGGTCAGTGGCCGGTGGGGGGGGAAGGGGGTCAGTGGCTGGTGAGGGGAGGGAAAGGGGGTCAGTGGCTGGTGTGGGGGGACGGAAAGGGGGTCAGTGGCCGGTGGTTTGGGGGGAGGGAAAGGGGGTCAGTGGCCGGTGGTGGGGGAGGGAAAGGGGGTCAGTGGCCGGTGGGGGGGGAAGGGGGTCAGTGGCTGGTGAGGGGGAGGGAAAGGGGGTCAGTGGCTGGTGTGGGGGGACGGAAAGGGGGTCAGTGGCCGGTGGTTTGGGGGGAGGGAAAGGGGGTCAGTGGCCGGTGGTGGGGGAAAGGGGGGGAAAGGGGGGTCAGTGGCCGGTGGGTAAGGGGGGAAAGGGGGTCAGTGGCCGGAGGAAACGAATGAGTGGCTGGAGGAAGGGAGAGGGGAATCAGTGGCCTGACAGAGAGGGGGAGAGAGGAGGTCAGTAATCGGGAATCAATGGACGGGGAGAGAAGGAATCATTGGCCGGAGAGGGGGGGGAGAGGGGGGGGGTCAGCGGCCGGAGAAAATGGTCCTTGGCTGACGCGAGGCCTGAGTCGAGGCCTCGGCCTCGCTTTACGGCTCGTACCGGGGTTGAGGCCTGCGCGGGCCGCGAGGAGCCCCGCGCTCTCCTGCTGCCGCTGCCCGGAGCGCGGCGCGCGTGTGGGCGGGTGCGAGGCGAGTCGAGTCGAGGCCCGGGGTTGCGGCGCGGGACCGGGGGGGCCCTCTCCCTCCCTCCCTCCCTCCCTCCCTCTCCCCCGCCCCCACCCCGCGCTGTGCCGCTTACCGTGTGCTCGTGTTCATCGGCGCGGCCCGTGGGCAGGCCCAGGCCCAGGCCCAGGCAGGCCAGCAGGAGTGGCCAGCGGGCGGCCGCCATGGCTCACAGCTTTCCCCCCCCCGTCCTCCCGCACCTCGCTCGCTCCCTGCGTCCCCCCACCCCCCACCCCCGCGCGGCCTCGGACTGCGGCTTTTCTACGCCCCCCCCCCAACCACCACCACCACCGCCGCCCCTCAGCGCCGAGCGTCACTGCGGCCCCCCCACCGGCTCCTCACAGCCACGTCACCAGCACCAGCAACGCCGCCTCCCGCACGAGCTCAACCCCAGGGGGAGGAGCGCGCTTTCGTGGAACAGCCCAACCGCCTCCCGGGGGTGATGGTGGTGGTGGTGGGGGGAGGGCGTTGTATCTCCTGGAACAGCCCCCCCACTCCGGTGTGGGCGGAGCGACGCCTCCCGGAATAGCCCAACCTTCTCGGCGGGGGAGGGGGGGTAGGGGTGGTGGTGGTGGGGGAGCACTGCCTCTTGGAACAGCCCGACTCCCAACACCGGTGGGAGGAGCACCAGCTCATGGAAGTCCCCCCACCCACCCGGAGGCGTCATCACGCGCCCGCACCCGGGGTGTGATGGTTCCGCCCCCCACCCCGACCCATCGGCTGAGGGTGGGGGGGGGGGAGGGGGTCAACACCCGGAGGAGCCACACACCCGCCCGGGGTTGGGTGGTGGGGAGGGACGTGGGCGGGAGTCCTGTCTCCTGCAACAGCCGTACCCACCCCCGGGGTGGGAGCGCGTCTCCCGGAACAGCCCCCGCCCCCCCAACCCCCACCCCGCCGCCCGGAGGGGGCCGGTTGGGTAGCCAGGCACGTCCCGGTGCACACTATGTGCCTGGGGAGGGCTTGAGATTGGCCCCCAACCTGGTGCTCCTTCAGCCCTCTTCCCCCTCAGCCCCGCGCCACCGCCATGAGTCGGGCTGTTCTGGGCGGGCGGGCGGGCGGGGACCCTCCTCCCCCCTGGGCGGGGGCTGAGATAGGTCACTCAGCACAGAGCGGGGATGTTTATTGAGAACATCGCCCGGTGCAGTAAATATTGGGAGTCTCGTGTGCAACCCAAAGACACGACCCCCGCTGTGACCCTAATCTTATCTCCGGCCTCGGTGTTCCGGATCCTGGATCCTCCCCTCCTACCTCAGGTGTTAAGATTCCCACACACTGTATCTATCCCCTGTTTCCTTTTCGACCGTGCCTTTGGTCAACATCCCTCCTCCACCCTCACTACGCTCTGATCCCAGTCCCCCGCCCCCCACCGCCCCACAGTTGTCCGGTACGTCGGGAAGTCCTCCCGTCGTGAAAGTCACCGAACAAATGCACTTTATTGTTGTTGTATCAGTTTGTCACTGTCACCATTTCAACACCAGGTGTCTCCCCTGCAGTACAGAACCAGGCGCAGGGCAATGTGGGTGCTGTCCTTCCTATAGCCGTGCATTCATTGCATCTCCGACCCACTATTCTCCTACTTACCTGCCCGTACCCTCCGTTCCTCTGGCTCCGGTCTGCTCCACATCCCCCGCCCCAACCGCCCTACCATCGGTGGCCTTCAGCCTCTCAGCCCCGAGGCTCTGGAACTCTATCCCCCAGTGCCTTCGCCGCCTCCTCCCTCTCCTCCTTCAAGGCCGGTCTCAAAACCTTTTTCTTTGACGGTGCCTTCAGCTCCCCTCTCGACTCTCTACCCCCTCCTCGCTCCCTCCCTTCCCTCCCCTCACCCTGACCATTTCCCCTCAATGCTCGGGTCCTGAACCAACTGTGCAGCGCCTTGGGACGTCCTCCTGACGTGAAAGGCGCTCTATAAATGGAATCTTGTTGTGGTTGTATTGTTGTGTTAGTGTTTCATGTACGATTAGTATTGTTTAGAATACTTACTTATGGGGCGGTGTACAAGTGTGTTCTGCCAGAGAAAGCAGATACTTGTGTCAGCCTGGCTCAGTGGTAACACTCTCACCTCCCGAGTCAGAAGGTTGTGGACTCAAGCCGCACATCTGGACTTGGAATTACATAATCTAAGCTGACACTCCCAACGCATTGTATTGTCAGAGGTGGAGTCCTGTAGCTCAGTGGTTAGAGCACTCGCTTTGCAAGCGAGAGACCTGAGTTCAATTCCAGGCAGCGCAAGACCTTGAGCAAGTTTCCTTACTCCACACCCCTAATAATAATCCCTCCAAAAAAACAAAAACAATAATAAATTGGTCATTTTCAATCTACGACTGTTTGTGGGACATTGCTGTGCGCAATTGGCTGCCGCGCTCGCCCACAAATATACAGTCAATTCACTTTACAGTATATTCTGTGAAGCGCTTTGGGACGTCCTCCGGACATGAAAAGCTCTATATCAAATGCAAGGATTATTATTATTATTATTATTATTGCCGTCGTCCTTTGGATGAGACGTTAAACCGAGGTCATGTCTGCCTGTTAAGGTTAAAGATTCCACAGCCCTATTTGAAAAGAGAAGGATTATTATTATTATTATTAAGGGAGTTTCTCTAACCCAGTGTCCTGGCCGACAATCTCCCAAATAAAATTGATCATTCGCTCCATGACTGTTTGTGGGACATTTTAGAGTGCAAAATATCCCCAAAATATACACAGTCACTGCATTTTGCAGTCTATCCTGTGAAGCACTTTGGGACGTCCTCCCAACGTGAAAGGCACTATATCAAAGATAGGATTATTGTTCTTATAACAACACCTGGGGATGTGAACTCACCTGATTTAGCAAGCTTGTCCAGAATCCCTTTTGCCTTGTTTATTGCTGCTCACACTATTTTGACACAGTGAACTAACACCCCAAGATCTCTTAGCTTCGCCCTTGTCAAGTTCTGTCACATCCATGGAGAACTCGTCTTTTCGAATCTTACTTCCTATATGTACCTTGCATTTAATAACAATAATAATAATAATAATAATACAGTTCACAGAATATGCTGTAAAGTGGACTGACTATTTTGTGGGCAAAATGCAGCAGCCAATTGTGCGCAGCAATGACCCATAAACAGTGGATTGAGTGACCTATATTTTTTTGGAGGGATTATTTTTTATTTTTTATTTGGAGGGGTTCCTACTTAATGCTGGAGCTGTGTGGAGTAAGGAAAGTTGCCTAAGGTTTCGCCACAGCTAGGAATCAAACCCAGGTCCACTCGCTTGTGAGGGGGAGCGCGCTAACTACTATTCTATGGGATTCCACTCTCATCCACTGGGAACCTCTGTCTCCCAATCTTACTTCCTGTATGTACCTTGTATTTAACTGTATTGAACCTTATATGGCTGTACAGAGAAAATGGAGTCCTCCCCACATCTCTTATATTTTACATTCTTTATTATGTCACCAGAAAGCTGGTTGCTGATGGTTTTGCTGCAGGATAGTAACTGTGTAGCATTCCCACTGACCACCAATGTGAGTCAATAAAAAGCAAACCATGATTCAGCCTATTATCAGATTAATACATTGCTGTTTCTGCACCTCCCTGAACCAAGCCAGGTGATGTACTGATATCATTGCAATTCACAATCCCTCAAAGTTGGTGCAAACGCCTTCGATCCTGTTTCACTGCTTTTTGAAGTATCTACGACCCTCTGCACCATCAATCTGCATTGTCTACATCACAGGGAGGAAATAATAAAAACGGCTTCAAAATTAAGGCTGCATTTAAGAATTTGCCAATAATGGATGTTCTGACACATCGCGTATAGAGAGTAAATGTCGAGCCGGGTTTCCACACTGTCCATTGCTCTCTCTGACCCTCACCTGTTGCAGCTCACCCTCCTTCACCTCTCTGATTGTCACAAACTCCTTCCCATCGGAACATTTCTTAAACCGGCCGACCAGGCGATTGGGGCTTTCCAAGAAGAACCTTCCCTAAAAGGACAACGAGAAATGTAACAACAACAGCAAAAGTTAACTTTATACAGCACCATTCACGTTGGGAGGACGTCCGAAGGCTCTGGACAGTCAAGGAATTTGAACTCAGGCTGGAGTTGGGATCAGGAAGGGTGGAGAGCAGGCAGGGTAGGGGTAGGAGGGTGATTGAAGGCGAGGTCGAAGAAGAGGGTCTTGAGAAAGGCCTTGAAGGAGGCAAGGGGCGAGGCGAGGTAAAGGGACTCTGGGATGAAGTTTCAAAGGGTTGGAGCAGAGAGGCTGAAGGCCCGACTGCTGATGATTGGGTGGGCTGGGCAGATGACATGGAGTAGGCCAGAGCCTGCTGAGCAAAGGTCCTACCACAATCCTCGAAGAACAACAACAACAACAAGATTCCATTTATAAAGCGCCTTTCACGTCAGGAGGACGTCCCAAGGCGCTGCACAGTTGGGTCATGACCCGAGCAGGGGGGAAATGGTCAGGGTGAGGGGAGGGAAGGGAGGGAGCGAGGAGGGGGGAAATGGTCAAGGTGAGGGGAGGGAAGGGAGGGAGCGAGGAGGGGGAAGAGAGTCGAGAGGGGAGCTGAAGGCTTTATTTGCTGCAGTTTGGCCACCTTATATTGGGACGCCCACCATCAAGGTGAGAAAGAGTAGGAGAGAGGACGTGATAAATCAAGAAGCATTGGTTAAGTGATGCCAAGCTCAGTGTTCAAAACCTGCGATACCTTCACTTCACTTCCGTCAGCAAGAGTACTGGTAAATTCCTCATCCAAAATCCATGTTGATTCCTTGCTTCGAAAGGTACTTTTCTCAATGACAGTAAACTTCTTTCCATCTTGCTTGATCTCCAGCTGCAGATTGTCCCCTTCAAGGACCTTTCCGGGAACATTAGAACCTGGTGGTAAGGAAAGGGACTTGACCGTCACTGTGTCTCTATCTATCTGTCCCAAAATTTCCTCTGTCCATCCACCCACTCACTCCATCTGCCTGCTCTGCTGGTCTGGTCCATTATTTTAACAATCCTTACATTTGATACAGCGCCTTGCCATATCTTCGAGAGGTCTCAAAGCGCTTCACAGAATATACTGTAAAGTGTAGTGACTGTTTATTTTGTAAATGAACACGGCAGTCAATTTGCAACAGCTAATGTCCCACAAACAGCCATGAAGTGAGTGACCAAATTATCTGGAGAATTTTTGTCCAGGACACGGGAAGAGAGAAATTCCCTTCTCTTTTACAATTGTGCAATATGATCTTTAACCTCAGTTTAACATTTCAGCATCTTGTGACGTCCTCCTGACCTGAAAGGTGCTACATCTAAATGCAATTTGCTTGTTGTTGTTCTTTCTGAAGGACAGAGCCTCTGGCAATGCAGCACTCCCAGGCACTGCACTGGAGCATAAGCCAGGACTGTGAGCTCAAACAATATTGTTCCCTCTCCCAAAGCTTCATCACAATTCGCTACCTGAAATAACAAGAGCTGCAGCTGGTAACAGTGATGCTGCACTGAGCTGAGTTATATTTCCTGCCTTGTAACTGAAATCCAAGCATGTGTGCTTGAATAATAATAATCCTTGCATGTGATGTGATATAGCGCCTTATCATATCACTGAGACATCTTATCTCACAGAATAGATTCCAAAGTGAATTAATTGACTGTGTATTTTGTGGGCAAAACACAGCAGCCATTGTAACAGTAATGCCCCATAAACAGTCGTGGATTGAGTGACCACATTTTTGTTGTGGAGGGATTATTACCCCCCAGAAAGCAATCCGCCAATCGACTAACAACTGGGTTCTTACTTACTTACTTACTTAACGAAGCATATGGAGTAAGAAAACTTGCCTAAGGCTTCACCCTGCCCAAGAATCAAACCCAGATCCTCTCGCTTGCGAGGCATGCGCTAACCACTACACTACAGGACTCAACAGGAATCCCAGTGACGTAGCACTCCTGACAGATCTGTAGCTTTACCTCTGCAAGTGCGGGATTTAGTTACTCGTGGCCAACCCCCGAGGAGGGAGAAAAGGGTGGGCACTGTCCTACTTGTAACTGTGCCTGGAAAACTAATTTTCTGCACAGAGGGGAGCCATTCAACCCATGTTGTCTGTGTGGTTTCCTGTCGTTAATCTTCCTTTAAGGCAAGAGACATGCCAGCCAGGGACCCCATGAGATTTCCCCCTTCTTGATAAAGATTTGACCTTCCAAACGACTGTAAAACCAGTTTTGCAAAAAAAATCATTGAGAACAGAAGAGAGAGACATGTGAGTTCTCAGCAGGTCTGAGCACAGCTCCTGAGTTACGTGGCTAATTACACCCATATTTCTTTCCTTTGCCTTTTGTTTCGGTGTGGCTTCTCTATCTGCCTTCAGTTTAATGCTTCTCTCTCTCTTTTCTCCAATTGTATTCTTCTGAGTAGGAAGGGATTGGGAGGTACACACAGTGTTGGATTGGCCAGCAAGATTGTCAGCTCTCTGTGCACTAGGTTTGTTACATCCAACACAACAACAAATTACATTTACACAGTGCCTTTCACGTCAGGAGGACGTCCTAAAGCCCTGGATAGTCAGGGATTTGGACCTGAGCTAGGAGTAGGAATCAGGAGGGATGGAGGGCAGGCAGGTTGGGGGTAGGAGCCTGACCAAAGGTGTGGTCAAAGAGGAGGGTCTTGAAACACTCCTTGAAGGAGGTAAGGAAGGGGGCGAGGTGAAGGGACTGTGCAATGGAGTTCCAAGGGGTGGGGGCAGAGAGGCTGAAGGCCTGACCGATGATGGTGGGGCAGGTAAGGTGGGGGACATGGAACAATCCGGAGCCTGCTGAGCAGAGGGAACGTACAGGTCGTTATGGAGTTAAACTGTGTTGCAGTTAGTTAGATCCCGTGTTCTCAGGGAATTGTTTCCTGTATTGATTAGTGAGATTAACCTGGCTCATTTGGGCACTCTCTGGTCTTGGGACATTGAAACTTGAGCTCAGAATCTAGACTGACCTGAACCTCCAGTCCAGAATCAGGCTGCTTTGGTGGAGGTTCTGAAACGAGGTCCCATTGTGGTGCAGTTCCATAGCATAGTGATTAGAGCTCTATAACCTTAGGCAAGTTCCTTACTCTATCATTAACCCATCTTGTGAAAGCACAAAACATGGTAACCTACCCATGCCTTGGAGGAACTCGTCCAGGTTCTCACTCTTGTAGACTTTCCAGAGTCCATTAAAAGCCATGACGGATCCTGACCACAGTTAGAAGAAACAGACAAGAGTAAATTTGTAAGTGATGAGCCGGGCCCTCAATCCCACCTAACATCTTTCCATTACACGTTGGGAGAAGATCCCTGAAGAAGATCCTTAACAGACATTTGATGCTATTTTGTTTGTACTCCCACTCAGCTCCTGTTAACCCTGTAAGCCAAAGCCCTAACGGGTAGGGTGGTCCTAGCTGACAAGCAGCGGGAAAGGTTACCAGACAGTGCTCTCAGTGGCAAGTTTGTGGTTGTAGCTGTTTCGACTCCAACAGATACCCAACGCACCCTCTGGGGTGCCAAAGCCTTGGCACATGCCAACCTGTGCCCAATAATCTCCGGAATTAGGGTAGCAGGATCAGAGAGTGGGCATTCCATTCCAACTTTTACGTTTGGCGCTTGAGGCAACAGTCCAACTCCAAAAAGCCTCAGTGGGGTAATTATGTTCCTACGTCATTGAAGAGATACAACAACAACTTGTGTTTATATAGAGCCCTTCATACAGGGTAGTGGCTCGGAGCACTTAACAGTGGTGTAGAACAAGTGACTGCTCTACATTTCACAACATCTTTCATATTCCACCCACACGGCTGTCCCACTAGCAGCTCATGCTACGAACATAGGGTCTTCAGTTCGGTGCTGTGATCTGCTGACTTTGTAAGTGGGAGAATCTACTCTCAGGAGTTTAGTGGGATGTCTGGAGTCTATGCTGAACCTAAATGCATGTGGTTCTTGCAAGGAGTGGCTTGAAGGACTGTGCGAGGTGGAGGGATTTGAGGAGCAAGTTTCAGAAGGGTGGAAGTACCTGAAAGCTCATCCGCTGCTGGTGGGGAGAGGGGTTGAGCCAATTGAGTAACAACCAGGTTCCTACTTACTGCTAGGTAAACAGAGGCATGTGGAGTAAGGAAAGTTGCCTAAGGTTTCACCCGGCCCAGGAATTGAACCTGGGTCCTCCTGCTTGCGAGGCGAACGCACTAACCACTACGGGATGCTGAGTGTAAGTATGGAGGGACCCTGATTACAATTCACAGACCTTTTCACAAGTAAACGCAGTGAAAATCCTCCAGAAAAGGAACGTGTTTGCGATGGACCAGCGCTTAAGCCAATGGAGCTTTTTTTTGGGTGGGATGGGGAGCGAGGTGAGCGAAGTGAGGCAGCCTGCCTTTTCAGTGATTAAATGCAATTAGATTCATAACCTTTCACACTCTGTGGTTACATCTCAGGAAAGGTCTCTCTCCAGCAAAACACTGTTACTGTTCAATGGTCTAAATTGTGAGCCATGCACACATAGGGAAGAGTTACACAAAATGTTACAGATGTCTGGTCCCAACGGGCCCATCCCAGCGTTTAAACCCACAGAGGCCTCTCTTAGACCCCTTCCTCATTTATACATTAAGTTTCCTCTTAAATATGTTGACTCTTTTTGTTTCAACCACAGCTTCCGGCAGGTCGTTCCACATTCTCACATACTTTGTGTGGGGAAGTTCCTCCTAATCTCCGTATTAAATGTACCACTGGCTATCTTATACTTGTATCCTCTCACCAACAAGTGAAAACAGCCCATCAACATAACAATCCTTGCATTTGATACCGTGCCTTATCATGTCGTCGAGACATTTCAAAGCGCTTCCCAGGATTTATTGTAAAGTGTAGTGACTGTTTACTTTGTGGGTGAAACGCAGCAGCCAAGTTGTGCACAGCAAAGTCCCACAACAGCCATGGAGTGAGTGAGCAATTTTATTTGGGGTATTGTTGGTCAGGACACTGGAAGAGAAAATCTCTTCTATTCAAACAGTGCCATGGGATCTTTAATATCCACGCGAACAGGCAGACAGGACCTCGGTGTAATGTCTCACCCGAAGGATGGCACCTCTGACAATGCAACACACTCCCAGCACTGCATTGGAGTGTCAGCTTAGACTATGTGATTCCAAATCCCGACATGGGGCTTAAACCCACAACCTTCCAACTCTGAGGTGAGAGTGCTACCACTGAGTATGTCTGACACACATCCACCACACATCCACCTCATTCATCAAAGTCTTTAATAATATTAAACAAAATATTATCAGGTCTCTTCTCTGAGACATCTATCAAGTCTCCTCTCATTCGTTTCAGCCCAAAAGAGAAACGTGTCCAATCTTTATTGATAGACAGGTCGTTGTCTGGCCCGATACTGGTGACAGCTCTGCTGCTGGTGGAGTCTGTTCACTCGTTCTCCAGCACAGTCTTTCTCTGCAACTAACAGGTTCTGTGTAACTGCAGAGCCACAGAATTGTAGCATTTTACAGCACAGAAGAGGGCACATTGGCTTCTTCTGCCTATGCTGGATCTAATAGACCCACTTTCGCCCACAAAACACACAGCCACACCACTTTACAGTATAACCTGTGAAGTGCTTTCAGACGTCTCAATAACATATTAAGGCGCCACGTCAAATGCTGTATCAAATATCAATTATTATTATTACTTTACCCACACTCTATTTTTCCTTTTCAAATATTTGCGTATTCCTTTTCGAAAGATGTTGTGAATTACACTTCAACCAGTGTTTGTGGTCAGTAAAAACAGGAGTGGAGTCTCGTAGTGTAGGGGTTAATGTGCTCACCTCGCAAGCAAGAGGACCCTGGTTCAATTCCCAGACAGGGCAAACCCTTAGGCAAGTTGCCTTACCCCCACACACCTCTTTTTATCTAACAGTAAGTAGGAACCCGATTGTTCAAGATCGACTTCAAGATCCTCACCCTTTTATTCAAATCCCTCCACTCCTCTGCACCCCCCCTACCTCTCTGACCTCCTCTCTCCTCAAAACAGTACCGTTGCCTTCGTTACTCTGGGTCTGGCCTCCTCCTCGTCCCCCGAGTCCTCCGCTCCACCCTCAGCGGCCGTGCCTTCAGCCACTGTGCTCCGAGGCTCTGGAACTGCCTTCCTCACTCCCTTCGCCTCGCCCCCTCTCTTCCTATTTTCAGGTCTCGGCTGAAGACCTTTCTCTTCCACCGTGCCTTTGGTCACCTTCCTCCACCTCCCCTGGCTTGGCGCCGAGATTACTGTAAAGCGCTCTGAGACGCCGTCCGGTGTGGAGGGCACTATATAAATCCAAGTTGTTGTTGTTGTTGTTATTTGGTCACTCAGTCACGACTGTTTATGGGACAATGCTGTGCGCCATTGGCTGCTGCGTTTTGCACAACAGAATATACAGTTAATCCACTTGACAATATATTCTATGAAGCACTTTGAGACGTCTCAACGGCATGATAAGGCGCTATGTCAAATGCAAGGATTTTTATTATAGTAAAAATTTTATAGTAACAAAGCTTTTTATTCTAGTAAAAATGATCTTAAACTATTGTTTTTGAGTTACTGACACACCAACCAGTGCAAACAGCTGATCCCCACATTTACCTGATGAAAATCCTCAGAACTGTCACTCCGCCCTGCATCAAGTTTCTTTTTTATCTCTGAAAACAGCCCCAGGTTTTCTAGCCTTTCAATGTTTTAAAGAGAAGCGCTCACCTTCTCACAGTGCTTGTATCCCACAGCCCTCCTCAGCAGCAGAATGTGTAGAGTTCTGGGCTTGTCGACACAAGGTTTGTTCTGACAAGAATCTTCCAAGTTCGCAGATTTAATGTGTAACTGCGTCCTCCTTAGGTGCATGTGCACATGATCCGATCTCACTGAAAGACCAGTTACACTGGTTCCTGTATCAGATGGTTTTTGGTTAGCTGAAATAGGCACGAGAGAGCCAAGTTGACATGTGGTGTTATTGAGCTTGCATTTTCTGGCTTTCAATGGTCACAGAGGGTGGGGATGCAACCCATGCAGCATTTAATAATAATAATAATAATAATCCTTGCATTTGATATAGCGCTTTTCACGTCGGGAGGACTTCCCAAAGCGCTTCACAGAACACACTGTAAAGTGAATTGACTGTATTTTTTGTGGGCAAACGCGGCAGCCAATTGCGCACAGCAATGTCCCACAAACAGTCGTAAATTGAAAAGTACCAATTTATTATTGTTTTTGGAGGGATTATTATTAGGCTCTGTGTGGAGTAAGGAAACTTGCCCAAGGTTTCGCCCTCTGCCTGGAATTGAACTCAGGTCTCTCACTTGCAAAGCGAGTACTCTAACCACTGAGCTACAGGACTCCATATATATGTTAAAATTGTGAAGTGTGATGTAAGAGTCAGAGACAAATAGAGTCATAGAAATGAAAGATGGGGAGAAAGTCAGAGAGAAAGAGTCAGGGAGAGAATGGCAGAAAGATTATTACCGTGCGGTTGAGTAGTCAAAGGCAACTCCCGATAGATAGTTAGTTAATAATGTTAATAAAGCTCTCCTTCCTTCCATTCTCGGCTTCAAAACAATAATTGAACCCAAAGATTTCTAGACCACCTTAGGATTGAAAAATTATCAAATCTGTCATAAAATATTGCATTATTTCACTTATTCAAGTGTTCTTTTATAATGCAAAACAAATTATTGTGGCATCAATATCATTTAAATGACACTGAGAGCTGCTGCTATGCCTTGTACTCTACGCTTTTAGTTTAAGAATCGAGTAGCTCTTTGTCAGTACCTTCCCATTGTAAAAGCAATTTTTCTAGAGAGCTGTTCGGAGGTGCAAGTTCCACAGGTCGTTTCCCGTCAGCATTCCTGGAGTCAATCCGTGCTCCGTGTTCCAGCAGTATGGTGGCCAGTTCCATATTTGAGCTCTTGGCTGCCACGTGAAGAGGAGATTCGAGATTTTTGGCAGTGTTAACATTGGAGTCTACACTAGCAGTTTTTTCACAGAATCCATCCGTTGGTTTTCACAGGCTACATAAAACGGCGTCCCCATATATTTGTTGTTGCATTCAATCTCCATTTGGTAGCGCATGCAGTAGGAATCAGCAGAGGCAGCAGATGCTGAACATGCAAAATATGCGTACCAGCCTTGAAAAATGCAATTCAAGTTGGGAGGACATCCCAAATCGTTTCACGGGATTTAATAATAATAATCCTTGCATTTGATATAGCACCTTATCCCGTCATTGAGACCTCTCAAAGCGCTTCATAGAATAATAATAATAATCCTTGCAATTGTTATAGAGTCTCAAAGAGCTTCACAGAAAATACTGTAATACAGTCAATTCACTTTACAGTCTATTCTGTGAAGCGCTTTGAGATGTCTAGAAGATGTGAAAAGCGCTACATCAAATGCAAGGATTATTATTATTATTAAAGTAAATTAACTTATGTTTTGTGGGTGAAACGCAGCAGCCAAGCGTTGTGGATTAAGTGTCCTTTTTTTTAAGGGATTATTACCCCCAGAAAAGCGATCTGCCAATCAACTAACAACCGGCTTTCTACTTACTGCTAGGTAAACAGAGTTGCATAGAGTAAGGAAACTTGCCCAACTTTCCCCTGCCAGGAATCAAACCCAGGTCCTCTCGCTTGCGAGGTGAGTGGTCTAACCACTGAGCTACAGGACTCCACATCCTGTAGTTTAGTGGTTTTACAATATATTGTAAAATGCATCGAGTGTGTATTTTGTGGGCAACACAATTGCACAAAGCAGTATCTCACAAACAGTCGTGATTTGAGTGACCACATTTTTTGGGGGAATTATTAGCCCCGGAAAGTGATTCATTAATTGACTAATAATTGGATTCCTACTTATTGCTAGGTAAACAGAGGCATGTGGAGTAAGGAAACTAACCTACCGTTTCACCCCACATGGGCTTGCGAGGCAAGTGCGCTAACCACTACCCTACAGGAATTCATTTACTGTGGAATGGAGTGACTGTATTTTGTAGACGAATACTGCAGCCCAAATGTATACAGTAGTGTCCCAATTTTATTTTATTATTTGGGGGATTGTTGGCCAGGATATTGGGAGAGAGAAACTCCCTTTTTTTTGAATAGCGCCATGGGATCTTTAACATCCACCTGAGAAGGCAGACAGGACCTCGGTTTAATGTCTCATCTGAAGGACAATATTTCTGGCAATGCAACGCCCACCCCCAGCACTGCACTGCTCTGCACTGGAGCACCAGCTTAAATTGTATGATTCCAAGTCCCCAACAAATTTTATTGAATTATTTTTAACATCTAATTGACTGCCTTGTCTCGCCCACAAAACACACAGTCACTCCACTTTACAATATTATCTGTAAAGCTTTGAGAAGTCTCAGTGATGTGAGAAGGCATTATATCAAATGCAAGAATTGTTATTATTATTATCATTATTATAAATACATTAATTTGAAAAAAAAATGTCCAAAATCAATCAGTTAAGAGATGATGAAGAAGAAACTTGGCAAAGGGTTTCTAAAAGGAAGTGGACAAGTTGGCAACAATTTAAGAGAATAGGATGATTTGATTTAGAAAGTGAAGAAACCTCTCAGGAATTAGAGGGGTAAACTGATCGTCTATTCACTCCGGAAATTGTTACTTTGTTCTTCTGTAACTGAGACAAATCTATGATAATTACACTTTGTGAGACATTTGCATTCCGTTCACACCCACACACACGCGCGTGGGCAAAGGTGTGTTCCTTACCATACAAGGCATTCCTGAAAGATGATAGGCTCCATCACAAGGCCTTTACACATTCAGAACAAGTACGCATTGTACAGTCTATCAAACAGTCTTGTTGGGAAATCAAATACACTGACTGACAAGGATTGACAGCCAAGATGTGCAGGCTTGATTCAGAACAACAATAACAAATTATATTTACACAGCGCTTTTCACGTCAGGAGGACTTTCCGAGGCACTGAAAAGCAGGAATTTGGCTCCGAGCCTGGGGTTGGGACCAGAAGGGGTGGAGGGCAGGGAAGGTGCGAGTAGGAAGGTGACCAAAGGCGTGGTCGAAGAGGAAGCTGTTGAGACAAGCCTTGAAGGAGGCAAAAGGGGGTGCGGGCGAGGTGAAGAGACTGTGGGATAGTGTTCAAAAGGGTGGGGACAGAGAGGCTGAAGGCCCGACCATCGATGGCGAGGCACCAGATGTGAAATATACACCTGCAACCACATTGTGTAAGATTAAAAATCTGCACATCCGGTAAGGGTGTTTCATTCTAACTCTGTGAGACGTCTGATCTATTTAAATAGCAATCGCCTTGGCTTGCAGGCACTGATATGATTTCATGCACAAAGTGCTATTCTCTGAATCTCTTTCTCCCCTGCGTAATACGTGCCTTTGAATGACCATACCGGCTCTGATCTCAATGCAGCTGGAAGATTTTACCTCCTGAAGGCAAATCAAAAGAAGAAACTTTGAAGCGTTGGTGATCTTTGATTGAGTCATTTTGACTGAAACACTCAGTTCCTGTCTGCTATTGTGTGTACTGTATACTGAGCAGGTTCACTAATCAAGTCTGATTATTCCTTGACAGTGGGAGCAGTCAGATCAGACACATTAATGATAATTATAATAATCCTTGCATTGAGATGTCTCAACTCGCTTCACAGAATATACTGTAAAATGAATTGACAGTGTATTTTGTGGGTGAACAATCGTGGCAGACAATTGCACACAGCAGTGTCCCCCAAACGGTCATAAATTGAGCGACTACATTTTTTGTGGGGGGAGGAATTATTACCCCTGGAAAGCCATCCACCAATCGACAACAACGGGATTCCTACTTACTGCTGGTAAACAGAGGTGTGTGGAGTAGGAAATTGCCTAAGGTTTTGGTCAGTAAAAATACAGTTAAACACTTGTACTGAATACATTGAAGTACTTCTAAATACAATTATCATCATCCTTCCACATGTTTCAGTTATTGGTCAGTGAAGTGCACTGCAGAAAAAAAACATGGGGGTAACAGGACTTTGTGAACACTCTGTACACTCCAGACTCCTCTGATGGCTTGGTGGCAAAGCCACTTTGAACGCTGGTTGCTTGGGGTTATACATGGAGAGTGAGGTACCCAAGGTTCGCTCAGGAACCCATTTTGTCTGTGCTTCCAGAGAGGAGAGAGAAAATAGATTTGGAAAATAGATTGAAACTCTTTTACACTGAAGAATGACATTCAAACTGTGTTCATTTGTACAAATATGTTGGGTTTAATTTTCTACAATTTTCCAGGAATTCAAGTCAATATTTCTGATTGAAGTTGCAAAGTACCCCAGGTAATGTGCATTGGTATACACAACAGTAACACATGAGCAAGCACACTCTGTGACCGCCTGTATACTGAGCACAACATAAAACATACATTGAGAGCTCAGCTTCCACATTCATTCACTGGTTGCAGTGGTTAGCTAGACTCAAACTTTTATAAACATAAGCTGAAATCACTGAAAGTTAATAGTATTCCACACACTTTTCTTGACGGAAGGATGGAAATGTACACAAATAAGATGCCTCTCCTGCAGCAACGATATTCAGTGCTGTACTAATAATAATCCTTGCATTTGATATAGAGTCTTATCATGTCGTTGAGATGTCTCAAAGCGCTTCACAGAATATATTGTGAAGTGGATTGTCTGTGTATTTTGTGGACAAAATGCAGCAGGCAATTGTGCACAGCAGTGCCCCACAAACAATTGTGGATTGAATGACCACAGTTTTTTTGAGGGGATTATTACCCCAGGAAAGCAACCCGCCAATCGACTAACAATGAGGCTCCTACTTACTGCTACGTAAACAGAGGCGTGTGGAGTAAGAAAACTTGCCGAACGTTTCACCCCGCCTGGGAATTGAACCCGGGTCCTCTCGCGTGCTCTAATCACTACCCTACAGGACTCCACAGTTCCTCAGTACTGTGTTCGGACACTGTAAAACTGCAGTGGGTTTTCCTCACTAGAATGGTAATTGTCTGTTTATTCATATCATGGAACTTTAACTCCAGCTTTCTCCTCTCTCCTGGAAGCATTGGTTTCTGCTCGGCTACAGCACCACAAGTAACCAGACGCTTGCCCACCTCTCGCCCCGAATAGTCATTCTTTCCGTGCCAGCTCAGATAATGAGCGTCAGCTCAGACCATTGCAGTTCCCTATCCAACATTCTCCCTGTGGGAGCAGGGGGAGGGTCTCTGGAAAGTGACCAGGAGCCGGAGCCCTGGCTGATTTTCTCCTCCCTGACCCAGGGGTGCCGAAGCCAACTGTCATCCCAACTGCTGTCCTGGCTAAGATCAGATAACCCGGTCCAAAGCAGGATTGAACCTGGAGTTTCTTGGTCTGTCTGATTCAATGTCACAATGAAGACAACAGAAGAACATTTATCTTTCAAACCCATCTATTTCAAATCTATTTTGTATTGCAAGAACTCAGCTATTTAAGTGAGAGGTCACTACACCATTGTTTAGAAATAAAGTGTCCTTTTTTTTTAAGCTGTACAGAGGATAGCAATGGGATTATATGTAGAAGAAGGAACCAATTTATCAGTTTGTGATAATAAGAGCCAGAGAGAGATGTGTGCTATACAGAATCTTCTCTTCATCTAACTTGCCCTGTGTTAACGTGAGGGAATGTGGGCTGAGGAACCACAGGCTTGTAACTTTGTCTGTCCAGCGCCTTGGGACGTCCTCCCGACGTGAAAGGCGCTATATGAATGTCATTTTGTTGTTGTTGTCGTCTTCGAGGAAGGGAGGGGGGGAAGGCCAGAGTGGAGGGATGGGGGTGGGGAAGGCGGAGAAATGCAAGCAGTGTGTTTCATGGGGGAGTGAATGCAGGCCAGAAAGAAATGCATGATGATCTGGCAATATAGGTGTTTTCCATGGGATTTCTCTTTGCCCTAAACCCAGTATTTATAAACTTGAGTAGGTGTGGTTGCTTGCTACTTGGTATCCACATTTTACAGGTGACTGAAGGGTGGGGAATTAGGATTAAAAGAGGTACCAATATCAAATGTAGATGGTGGAACAGGCTGGATGTGCTGAATGACCTCACCCCGTTCCTACGTGGCTCCAATACAACCTAACCTGAGTTAGAATAAATAGACCTGCTGTGTCCTCCTCAGCAACACCTCACTCGGTGTGGCTGTCACCACTGGGAAAACACAACAGACACGACAAGCGATGGAGAGATGTCATACTCCCAGCGCACCACAGGCTCCACTGTAGGCAAGAGTTTGTCGAGTGCTTAAATCACTAAACTAGAAGCAGGTCCCACACTGCCTGCAGTTTGACTATCGGCCTCTAGGAGGCACTGGAGGGGCAAACCGTGGCTTTTCAGTTTGAGGTGAAGATCTGAAAAAGAATGAGAAAAGGAGAGTGTGTAAGAAATCATTTAGTTTTAACATTTAATAACGGGGAATAAACTGTGATGGGAGCGATAATAATAATAATTTTTACATTTGATGTAGCACCTTGTCACATCATTGGGACGCCTCAAAGTGCTTCACAGAATAATAATAATAATAATAATCCTTGCATTTTGATATAGCGCTTTTCACGTCGGGAGGACGTCCCAAAGCGCTTCACAGAACACACTATAAAGTGAATTGACTGTATATTTGTGGGCGAACGCGGCAGCCAATTGCGCACAGCAATGTCCCACAAACAGTCGTGGATCGAGTGATCAAATTATTATTACCTATTAATTTTTTGGTGGGATTGAGTGACCACATTTTTGGAAGGGATTATTATCCCCACAAAGCAATCCGCCAATGGACTAACAATGGGGTTTCTACTTAAACAGAGGGATGTGGTGTAAGGAAACGTGCCTAAGAATTCACCCTGCCCGGGCATCGAACCCGGGTCCTCTCGCTTGCGAGGTGAGCGCAGTAACCACTACGCTATGTGACTCCACCTATTCTGGAGGATGGGCCTGAGATACAACCAGAGCTCCACAGGACACACTACACTATTCACAAATCTTTTTGCAAATGTCGCAAATTAGTCTCCAATTTAAAATTTAATGTCTTCTATCTACTGGGAGCAGAGAATACTCCCACTGAGCTTCCGTTAAACCTGCAAGCCCAAGCCCTGAGGGTTAGGGTGGTCCTAGTTGGACAAGCAGCGGGAAAGCTGGTCAGACAGTGTTCTCAATGCAGTTTTAACCAGTTAGACTCCAGCAGTTACCCCAACTGTATGATAGATATTTGGATCCCTTCAGGTGGGACTACAATTTGCTACGGCTATGGTTGGCAAGGCGAAAATCAGCCAGTGTCCCTTCCCCCCACCACACCTCCGTGTCTTGGGTGTAAGCACGCGATCACTTGATAATTGAACAGCCCGCCAACACTCACACATAGAACACTGAATTTGGGTGAGACCCAGCACCCAGACCCCTCACCAGCACCCAATACACCCCTCCATCCCAACATCCAGCGACATACAGATTCCCCCTCACCCACGCAAGCTCTCCAATACTCAGCTGACACACTCAGAAGATACACCTGGAAGGTTGCCGATCAGGCATTCTTAAAGCGCTCTGAGACACTACCCTGAGTGGAGGGTGCTATATAAGTGCAAGTTGTTGTTGTTGGAGCTCTCCCGTCACAATCTTCCAACAGTGTGGAGACCAGATGGGGGTAATTGCTGTGGGAGGGGGGGGGGGGGGGTGTTACCTGGCTGGGATGCGGGGTGGGACGCGAGGTGGAGGTAAAGTGGGAGGTCGGTCCCGGTTCAATGAACGTCGCAGACCACTGCTGTCTGTTTGTTCATTGTCCTAAAACACAGCAAATTAAAGATCATTTCAGTATTTGCAAAGAGACACCAGTTAAAACATTAGTATCATCAGTGTATGTTTTGAACTCAGACTGGCTGTTAGTTCGCTCATGTAGGGATGTTTGCGCTGCAAAATTGAACTTCCCCATTTCTGGGCTCAGCTACAGCAGCTGACGTGGACAGAAAGTGTAGAGGGAGGTTTACTCGGTCTCCAACCCCACTGACCTGGGAGTGTGGACGGACAGTGCAGAGGGAGCATTGCTGTGTCTAGCACAAGAGGAAGGCGAAGGGTACGGCAAGAGGAAAAGGTGGGGAAGGAACCACGTTTACCTCGTTGTCGGCTTCGGCTCCACTGCTCCAAGTGCTGCGAGTGCTGGACCGGCTGCTGGCGCTGCCTGTGAGAGAGGAAATGTGACCGATTTAGGAAAACCTATTGCTTCGCATTCAGTTTCATGTTGGTCCAAACCACAATGAAATCAAACACATTCACTCATTGACAATAACTCGCACTTATATCACCTATTATAGTGCCCTTCGTGAAGGGTGAAATTGCTCATTTACTGCATGGCTGTTTGCGGGAAAGGCTGAGCTGGGAGAAAGGAGGGGGTGTGAGGACGATACCAAAGCCATAGTTTTTAAAAGGGTTTTGAGGATGGGGAAAGAAACGCAATGAGCCTTATTGTACAAAGCAAAAAAATGGCCTCATAAACTGTGCAATGATTCTCAATCCACAACACTTGTGTATTAGGTAATTCCTTTATTCTCGGCTCACAACAATGCAACATTCCTACCATAAGCCCTCAATCTGTGGACTGGGCTTCAACAATAGTTTGTGGCAGAAAAGTTCTCACTCCAGCACCTCTGCCCTGTACAGAATGTCCTGAAATAATCTGCCTTCTGTGCCTCCCTATATCGTCCATTCGCCACACTCATTGCTCACTGTGTAAAGTAAGTAAATCCAAACTGTATATTCCCTCTGCCCTCTTCTGAGCTTGAGTTTGTGCCTCTCTAACAGAGTGCTAACATCAGCATGGGTACATTTCACCAAATGGCATATTTCTGTTTCCCTTCCTCTTGTAGATTCCTTGCATTGTCGATCATATTAGACAACAACAACTTACATTTACACAGCACTCTTCACGTAGGTTAAAGATCGCTTTACAAGGACGGTGTCAGACACTCAGCGAGGGAGAGGGGGAAGGAGGTATAGGTGGCAGAGGTAGTTTTTGAGGTGGAACTTAAAACATAGAAAGACATAGAGAGATCCCGTTAAGAGTCAATCAATTGACCCCCAATGTGGACAGATTCACGATGTATAAAAGCATAATGAGAAAGCTTCATAGGGTGTGGTTATTGTAATGGGTTTGAATAGAGACTCAAATAAACTCAGTGACACACCATTGTAATGATTCTCAATCCACACTGGTATACTAAGTAATTGCTTTCTTCTCAGCTCACAACCCACCCACCCACTGATGATGCCACGGAGAGAGAGTGGGTGAAGCACAGCAAGTCCGAGTGAGCTGAGGTGAGGAGGAGGGTAAGAAAAGATCGAGAGATCTTCAGTCAAAGGGTTGGTCCGCTTTAAGATAGGCGAGTTGTTGGCTTGACTGACAAGTCCATTGAACAAGAAGAGGTGAGGACACCCCTAGGTGTAGCCCACTGGACCGGAAATGTGTGGGCACCACTGCCAAGTTGGGAGAGGGGCAAAAAGATGCTACGGGTTGGGGCTGCTTGGAGGACTTGCTGTGGTCCTCCTCTGGGCTTTCCCTTCCCAGCTCATCATAAAACGGTGACTAGAGATAGATGGGGTGGAGAGAGGGCTGAGCCCACCTCTATCCCTTGCCACACGTCACCTATGAGACAGGGAGACATTCAGTTTATCTCTACCCTTAGAATGCATCATGCCCCACGAGACCTACGTAACCCATTCCTTAGTGCCATGTCTGTATAAGCGCTGTTGGACATACTTGTTGTGCTTGATGTGCTGGCTGTGGTCCAATTTCTGCGTTGTATCGGCACCCGAGCTGGACTGAGCGGGATCATTCTAGCATTGGCTTCATAAACTCCGCATTCTAGACCCTGTTGCATGTTTGATTGCCCAGTGGGGAGAGAGATCTGCAGCTCTGAGAGCAGTAATGACAACATGGGGATTTTAATACACTTAATACAGTACAATAAATACATTTCAGAAGCTTGTGGGTTCAAGCCGTTATGTCGGGACCTGAACTCACATAGTATAGGCTGACACTTCAGTGCATTGCTGGTGTGTGTTGCATTATCGGAGGTGCCGTCCTTTGGATGAGCTGTTAAACTGAGGTCCTGTCTGTTTGATCAGGTGTATGTTAAAGATCTCATGGCACTATTTGAAAAAAGGGAGTTTTCTCTCCCGTTATCCTGGCCAACAATCCCACAGATAAAATTGGCCACTCACTCCATGGCTGTTTGAGGGACTTTGCTGTGTGCAATTGGGCTGCTGCATTCAAATGCAGTCAATTCACTTTACAGTGAAACACTTCAAGATATCAACCCAATATGAAAGGGGCTATACCAATTGCAAGGAATATTATTGTAGGCCAAGATTATGAAATGATTATGCAACAGCCCTCGAATGCCTTTCAGATGAAACATCCTGTGATAAGGTGCTATATCAAATGCAAGAATCATTATTACTGATTATAATGTAACAGTAAGTTTTGTGCTGGCAACGAACATCTGCCCACAAAATATAGTCACTCCACTTTGCAGTATATCCTGTGAAGCTCTTTGAAACGTCACAACGTTGCAATAAGGGGCTATATCAAATGCAAGATTATTAATTGTTCCTTTATCCATTCATCTATTTTGCCCAAAGTTTTCTTCAACGGATCTGTCTCACCATTTAATAACCTTGAACATTTGTAACTTTCAGGACTTGTCAAATTCTTTTTCTGCTATTATAGAATATAGAAACTATAAAATAATAATATCCTTGCATTTGAAATAGCGCCTTATCACGTCGTTGAGACGCTTCAAAGCGCTTCACAGAATACGTGGCCAAATTAGTTGACTGAGTATTTTGTGGGTGAAACACGGCAGCCAATTGCGTACAGAAGTGCGCCACGAACAGTCGTTTGTTACAGAAGAAAAGATTTATTACATCTTTTCCTTTGTGACTGGTTCGGATCCCACCCCAAGTCGCAAGAAGCCTTTGTGTTGCTGATGCAGTGTCACTCAGAGGCCAATAAGTGCACTGCAGCTATTGCTTCCTTTAGCGAATATTTATGAAGTAAGTGACCAATTTTTATTTGGGGGATTGGTGGCCAAGGCACCAGGAGAAATTTCCTTCTCTTTGAAATAACAATAATGGGATCTTTAACGGCGCATTGCAAGTGAGAGGGCCCGGGTTCGATTGCCGGGTAGGGCGAAACCTTAGGCAAGTTTCCTTACTAAAGGCACCTCTGTTTGCCTAGCAGGAATTAGGAACCCGTTTGTTAGTCAATTGGTGGATTCCTTTCCGGGGGTAATAATCCCTCAAAAAAAGATATTATATCCACCTTAGCCGGCCGACAGACCCTTGGTTTAACGTCTCATTTGAAGGATGGCGTCTCTGACAATTCAGCACTGCAATGTAGTGTTGCATTATTGTAAATTAGTTGTTAGTGTAGATTTGCCCTGAATTTGTATCAACTTCTAAAGCTCCGATGGCTTATTTGGTAAATTCACTGCATCACTGTGGACCTGAGCCATATTAGCCCAGGAATGTTCCAGGTTCAATCGATGTGCAATTTGCCAATCTCAGTGGGAGTTACCAGTAAGGGAAGCTACAGTTAAACTCGATATACCGGAGCAAAGCAAAGGAAGAATGAGCCAGGTTCATACCAACGCTTCATAATTTTAGTGACTCGGAAAAGATGATAGTGGAGATGTTGAATTGAGAACATTGGTAAGAAAACAGAATAACGTAACATAAAAAGGTCAGGTGAAACAATTACACACAATGAAGGAAGCTATCAAGTCTAGAGTCTGCCCTGGCTCTCTGTATTGTGAGCCCCTGAGTGACTAAGGTATATGACATTCAGAGGCTTGAAGGGGTGGTAATAATAATAATAATAATCCTTGCATGTTATATAAGATTTTGTCCTGCTTGAGTATGGGGATAGGGGAGGCCAGTGAGATTGAAAGTAGATCTTGCTCTGAGAGTTGGTGCATGCAGACTTGATGGGCTGTTTGGCCTTCTTCTGTGCTATAATTTCCTGTGATTCTGTGACAGCTTCAGAGGTTGAAAGCCAAGCAGAAAGAGGGCAAATAACAGCAGCCATTGCAGGTAGACAATGCCAACATCACAAGGTGCACCTCTCCACATCCCTACCAGCACGGGATCACATTCTCTTTATGATCGAACAATTCAAATACATCATTTTCAGTTTCCATTTGGTCTCTCCTCACTCGGCTGGTGTCTGCTTCCTCTTGCACCAACAAGTATTGGCCATGGCGTGCTGGACCTCATAGCTAACCCGGATTCTATCCTCACTTGACATCCACCTCAGAAGGCCTCACTGGATAGTAATTGGAGGTTGGAACCCCAGCTAATTCTCCTCCAGCCACGACTACCTGGCATAGATATCCGACCAACTGTATCTTTTAGCCAGAGATCAGTTACCTTAACATGGATCATTGATGGATACTGAGGACTTTCTACTCTGTATGTTTTAGTAGATACGGAGTACTACATACCCACTGCTATCAGAGGAGTGAGATTTGCTGTGGTTTCAATAGGCTTGGGTCTCCTCTGACAGAGTCAGAGAAGGCTGGTTCTCACCTCCAAGTACTCCAGACTTTCCCTTCTCCTTCTGTCTCCGTGTGATGCTGTCCCGTAGCTTCTTCAGGTTTTCCTACCATGTGAGAGAGAGAGAGGGGAGAGCTGTCAGAGCTTTACCTGCTATATCTGCTCTTCAGTGTTATTCTACAAACCATTGAACAATGACAGCTGCTGCACAGCTATAACATTTCTGGAGAATGTAGCTGGGAGGGACAGAAAGGGAGAATAAGACCCAATCACGCACTGGGATGAATCTACCCAAGAATGGTAGATGGAGAATCGATCCCCTCAGGATTTCTACATCCACCATTCCAATGTTCAACAGCTAATTTTATTTGGGGCATTGTTATAATAATCCTTGCATTTGATATGGTGCCTTATCACGTCATTGAGACATCTCAAAGCGCTTCACAAGATATAATAATAATAATAATCCTGCCACGTAATATAGCGCCTTATCACGTCTTCAAGACGTCTCAAAGCACTTCACAGAATATACTGTAAAGTGAATTGACTGTATATTTCATGGGTTAATCCCGGCAGCCAATTGAGTACAACACAGTCCCACAAACAGTCGTGACCAATTTATTATTATTATATTTTTTGAAGGAATTATTATCCTGGGAAAAGCAATCTGCCAATCGACTAACAACTGGGTTCCTACTTCCTGCTCGTTAAACAGAGGCGGGAGGAGTAACAAAAATTGCCGAAGGTTTCGCCCCACCCAGGAATTGAACCCAGGTCCACTCGCTTGTGAGGCAAGCGTGATAACCGTTATGCTACGGGGAAGTTGGCTAGGACACAGGGGAACCTCCCTTCTCTTTTCTAATAGTGCCATGGCATCTTTAATATCCACCTGAACAGGCACCATTGGTTTAATGTCTCAAGGATGGCAGCTCCAACAACTCAGTGCTCTCCCAGGACTGTACTGGAGTGTCAGCCTTTAGTGTGAGCTCAAAATCCTGGTGTGGGGATTGTACCCACAACTTTCTGACCCAGAGGAGAAAGTTAGTCACGCTAAGGCCTTATTCACATAAAAACCTATTGAACAGTCCTGATCGCTTCCCAGGTTCTCTGGCAGGTCATTTAACCCAGGAGGAGAGAAGGTCATCACAGCTAAACTGTTCGCACCGACAGTTAGACTCTGTTTGCCTCAATACAATGGGCCTGCACTGTGAGTTCAAGGATTATCAAGGAGGATTCCCAAGGATAAGGACAGTCAGGGATTTTGACCCTTTGGGACCCCTCAGAGGCACATATATCCAAGAAGAGAGGTTGAGGTGCTCACTCACTTGCTGGAATCGGAACGAGTCTGACCTCCTCTTCTGGTGGAGCTGCCACTCTTTGAACTGAACCAGAGCTTCGTCCACAGAAATCATCTGCAGTTTCACTTGCTCCTGCAGGGTGATCAGCTGCCTCTGGCCTGGTGTCATCATCCCCGCAAAAGGATCATAGTCACTTGACACAGCCTTCAACATCTCACGTTTTGGCAAGGTTACAGGCCCTGAAATAAAACAATAATAGGTTTAAACCTGTACCATTGCTAGGTATTTAATAATATAATAATAATAATCCCTGCATTTGACGTCATGTCTTCGAGAAGTCTCAAAGCGATACAGAATATACGGTTAAGTGAATTGACTGTGTATTTGCGGCAAAATGTGGCAGCCAATTGCACACGGCAGTATCCCACAAACAGTGGTGGATTGCGTGACCAATTTTTTTTTAAGGATTATTATCGCCCCACCCGGGAATCGAAATCAAGTCCTCTCGCTTGCGAGGTGGGTGCTCTAACCACTCTGCTACAGGACTCCAAGCACCAATATTTGCCAACATTTGGTGTGATTCGCGAATTGTGATTCCCAGGCCAGCAAAGTGAGAAGAAAGACTGATGAGAAAAAAAGGGCACCGGACATTTTTAGCTTTAGTTTCGTGACTCATGGCTGCCAACTCTTCTTGTGAAATTTCACAATGCGATAATCATAAACTGGAAGTCATAACTAATGCAACGATTTGCCTGTAATGTCAGCAGTGTTCAGTACTTTGAGACGTCTTCCTGCCATGCAAGGCGCGATGTAAATTTTATTGCATTATGTTTTGGACCCCATTGCCCAGGTACACAAGCCCTCTGAGGTATACTGATGTACCTTGCTTCGCCTGTGCTGCCGGAGTTGAGGGTAATTTAGTGACGTAGATGTTCTCCGATCTCCTCTCTTCCTTACTGCTGAACACTGCAAGCAGAAACAACAAACAAGTGTTGCGGATTTTGAAAGTCACCGCTTCCTAATGGCTTGGACATCAAGTCCTGGCAACCGTAAGCATGTAACAACATGGGATGTAGCTCAAAGGAAGAGCATTTGACTCAGAAATCTCCAGTTCGAATTCCCTCAAATTGTAAATAATAATAATCCTCGTCCTTGATATCGCGCCTTGTCACATCATTGAGAAATTTCAAAGCGCTTCACAGAATATACTGTAAATTGACTAAATTTTGTTGGGCGAAACATGGCAACCAATTGCACACAGCAGTGTCCCACAAACAGTCGTAGATTGAGTGAACAATTCTTTTTAAGGGATTACCATCCCCGGAAAGCAATTCCGCCAATCTACTAACAACCGGGTTCCTATTTGCTGTGAGATAAATGGAGGCGTGTAGAATAAGGAAACTTGCCTAAGGTTTTGCCCCGATCGGGAGTCCAACCCGGGTCCTTTCGCTTGCGAGGTACACAGGATAACCACTACACTACGGGACTCCAACTCTTAAATAATTGTCAGCTAACACTCGCACAGACAGAAAGGGCAAAGAGTAGGAGCAAGAGAATTAGAGTAGAGAGCTCCAATGGGGGAGCAAGAACCAGCACAAACACAATAGAGAAATAAGAGGGCAACGCGTTTAGAGTGGAGAGCACAAGTGGGGAGATAGCATAAACACGAAAGGGAAAGAGCAGGAGATTATGATTCCACTAGATAGTTCCTGTGGGGGAGCTAGCACCACAAGAGAAACAATGGGGAAATAGCACAGGAAAAGAATTAGCATAGCAATCTCCATCTATTCTCTTTCTGTTAATGATTCTACAGTACAATTCAAAATGACTTGTAAAAATAAATAATTGAGCTATTTCCTTATTGTCCTACTGTTTGTTTCAACCCCACAGGGCATGGTATATAGTATGTCTAGCAAAAGCCGCTGGTGGTCTGTGGGTTAATAAAGTTCAGGGGGAGCTATCTATGATATGCAGCTTGGTAGGAAGTTGTGTGAGATCTCATCAACCAGATACTGTACACCATAAAGTGAATATAGTTTCTTTCCTGTTGGGCAAATGCACAGCCTGACTTGGGCCATCGATTGCCCTGTCGTGCAATCATTTACGTCAAAAAAAATCTTGCTTTTGTGATTAAGTGTGGAATTTCGTAAATTCTGCTTCAAACCACATCAGATACAGAACGGGAAGTGAACGGTTTCCATTACGCTGTGTTGATGTATTTATGCTACAGGCCAGTGGCTTGTGCTAGGCTGCTTCGCTTCCGATCGTGGGGTCTATTTTGTACTGATAGCTAAAAATAGCAATTGTTTCATTAGATCTTTGTATAAAGGACCTTACTTGTTAACCTCTAATGTATTCATATACATTACAGAGGTAAGAAACACAGACTGAGAAAAGTAATTGTCCATCAAGGCCATTCATAATAATAATAATCCTTGCATTTGATATAGCGTCTCATCACGTCGTCGAGACCTCTCAAAGTGCTTCACAGGATATACTGTAAAGTGATTCACTGTATATTTTGTGGTAGAAACGCAGCAGCCAATTGCGCACAGCAGTGTCCCACAAATGGTCATGGGTTGAGTGACCAAATTATTATGTTTTTTTAGGGATTATTAAGTCTGGGTAGCGGGTAGCAATCCGCCAATTGGGTTCCTACTTACTGCTAAGTAAATAAAGGCATGTGGAGTCAGAAAACTTGTCTTAAGGATTTGCCCCGCCCGGGAATCAAACCGGGTCCTCCTGCTTGCAAGACCTGCTCACTAATCAATCGCTACAGAACTCCATTCACCCCATAGAGAATATGATCCATTGTGGAGTCTACTCAACATGGACCAGCTTGACTGCCCACCCCACCCTCGGGTCCCACCCCCAGCTCAGGTGGGACATCCTCCCGATGTGAAAGGTGTTGTATAGTATAAATGTAAATTGTATTGTAATTGGATTGGGCAAGACAAGTTTTTTTTAAAAGCAAGTGTTGCTCAATATGTTCACTGTGTTGAAGTCTAAGTTATTGGGGTACTTTACAGCCAACCATGTTACTCTCTACAATGCTTCATGACACCTCTCCCATGGCAGAACATTAGAAGTCTGCAAGACTCCCTCACCTCTAGCTGAGAGTCGGAGGGGCAGGAAGAAATGGATGAGATGTCTGATGCAGAACCCTAGAGCTCTGAGGTTTAGATGGTGGAGGTGTAAGGACCCCACAGCCTCATCCTGTGTTTGCAGATCTTCATGAGGAAGAACATCTTACAGGCATTTTGCTCATGTACTCTTTAAGAGCAAAGGCCCAATCCATTGAGGAGTTGTGTGTGTGTGGTGGGGGTGGCGGGAGGGCACTCAGTTAATTGTATCGGACAGGTTGTAGCTTTGTATGAAACTGTAATGAGTTATAAGAACACTTAGTATTCCACGTAAAAGAAGATCTGAAGGCATTTGAGAGATGTGGTGGGCAGGGAGATGTGAGATTTAAGCTGCTGACCGAAAGCATATTTGTTTTTTAAAAAAAATTAAGGCACTTTCCCTGGTTTTGACTCACACTGAGCTGCCAACTCCATGGATCTATTCAGTCAAGGCTGTCATGTGGGCTCCTTCTCAGTATGATTTGCTCGCTGTCATTTCTCCGGATTTCTCTAAGGTGTGAGATTGCCCCGAATTGGTTTGCGACCCAGAGTGACTCACATGGCTCTATTAGACTTTTTTTCTTCTTCAAGCATGTGGGTTTATACTGGGATGAATCACAAAGGTCCACCTCTGTACATAGCTCATTCTGATTGGTATTGGAATGCATTTCTCCAACAGCAACTCTGAAGTGACAGGAGCAACCCAGCGTTACTGCACAGGAACAAGCCATTTGGCAAGTCACTATCGTGCTGATGTTTTTCTCCACATGGGCCACCTAGTCTAATCCCTGGCCTCTACTCATTCCCCATAACCCTGACCATTACTCTCGAAAGGAGACTTTGAGACTTCCTCCTGATGCGAAGGCGTTATAACAAATGTAAGTATTGTTGCTAATAATAACACAAGTATGTGCATTTGAATATAGCACTTACTACTAACTAATCTCGCTCAACCAGCTTATCAACTGCATTGTATGATTTAGAGATTGAGGCAAGATCGGTCATCTCGCCTCACTATAACGTCAGTTATTTCACTGCCAGTAAATTGACAGGAAATTAGCATGATGTGTGTAGTATTTCACTGGAATTAGCTGTCTTTCAGAAGTTTATGTGGCAACAGTTCGAAAAGTCCCCTGATAAGTGCCTGAATGAGCAGGAAAAGGAAGTACTGTATTTTTCTTCCCTCTAGTGATCGTCACTAACAAAAACACGTGTAATTTTCCATTCAGGTTTTAGGAAGTACAACTATTAAATTCTAAACCGAAACAGGTCATTTAATGAAGCAGAGTGCAGTGGGCGAGATATTGGCCTTGCACCTCTAGGACTGGATTCCTATCCAGCTTCAAGTAGCTCAGTTGCTTGATAGAGATTCTATTACATTCCAAGATAACAACAACAACAAATTACATTTACATAGAGCCTTTCACATCAAGAGGACATCCCAAGGTGCTGGACAGCCAAGGATTTGGACACGAGCTGGGGGTTGGGATCAGGAGAGGTGGAGGCCAGGGAGGGTAGGGGTAAGAGGATACCCAAAGACACCGTCGTAGAGGAAGGTCTTGAGATGGGTCTTGAAGGCGGCAAGGGAGGGGTTGAGGCGAAAGGACTGTGGGATGGAGTTTGATGTTAGGGCAGGCCGGACGGGGGACATGGAGCAAGCTGGAACCCGTTGAACAGAGGGAGCGTACAGATCTGTGTGGAATAAGCAGGTCACAAAGATAAGGAGGAGCAAGGCTTGTAGGGCTTTGAAGGCAAGGATGAGGGGATGGTGAGCCAATGGAGAAAGGCAAGGTTGGGAGTGAGGATTCGCCATTGACAAGTAATAATAATCATTGCCTTTGATACCGTGCCTTAGTACTTTGCTGAGAGGTCTCAAAGTGCTGCACAGGATATCCTGTAAACAGGTGTGATTGTATGTACTTTTTGAGTAAACAACAATAAGTAACTCAGGTAACCTGTCTAAAAATAACCTCCTGAGGAATTCCACCTGCTCTTGACTTAGACTTCTTCCTTATTGTTGCAGAATATGCAAAATTTTGAAAATCCTTCAATTCAGTTTCAGTTTTGAAGCAGTTTTTCTGTAGGTTCTTTTAAACAACAACAACAACAAATTACATTTGTATAGCGCCTTTCATGTCGGAAGATGTCCCAAGGTGCTGGATAGTCAAGGATGTGGACCAGAGCTGGGGGTTGGGAATCAGGAGGAGAAATTAAAAGGACAAATTGAACCCGGGTTCGATTTCTAGGTGGGGCCAAACCTCAGGCAAGTTTCCTTACTCCACACACCTCTGTTTACCTAGCACTAAGTAGGAAAGCAGTTGTTAGTCCAGTGGTGGATCGCTTTCCAGGGGTAATAACCAATCCAAAATAAAATGATAATAATTTGGTCACTCAATCCACGACTGTTTGTGGGACACAGCTGTGCACAATTGGCTGCCGTGTTTCACCCACAAAATGCACAATTCACTTTACAATATATGCTGTGAAGCGCTTTGAGACATCTCGAAGATGTGATAAGGTGCTATATCAAATGCAAGGATTATTATTATATATATTAGATTTGACCCAAGAGTTTCTAGTCAGAGGGCACCTTTTCAGCACCTTCAAACGAGCAGGGATATAATGGTCAATGTGTTCTCCTTACCTTTAGAAATGTAGGGTTCCATCATATCGGAGGGTAGGCTAGGCCTGGGGATCGTAGCTGGAGGTCTGTTCACAATCTCTTGAGGATAGCTAGCTTTCATTCCAGTATCGTAATGGTCATGGCTTCCCATCTTATAAGGATCTTCACATGCTTCATGTATATTCCCTGGGAGAACAATTGGAAATGTAATGTGGCTCTTTATAATTTATATACGAACATAGAAACATGAGAACACTAGTAGGCATTCAGCTCTTTGAGCCTTCTATTAGATCATGCTGATCTGTACCACAACCCCAATTACCCGCCTTTGTCCCATACCCCTTGATACCCTTACCTAACAAAAATTTAAAAACTGCTTCCTGATTTCACTCCTAAATGGCTTAGCTCTAATTTTAAGATTATGCCCCCTTATTCTGGATTCACCCACTAATTTTACATCAATAAGTGTATTCTCAAGTAGGGTTCATCCCGTTTAACAGGAATCAAATGGGTGAGGCTATCCGTAAGGGTGAAGCTGGTTAAATTCCAGCAGTTACCCCAACGCACACTCTGAAGTCCCCAAGCCCTGGCTCTCACCAACCTGCACCTAACATTCTCCAGAACTAATGTAAGCTGTGTATAACAGTTTTCAACATTTTGAAATTCCTCTGAAACCCTCGGGTTGGGTCCCAAGCCAGTATTTTAAGTCCTTTGAGATGTCCTCCTGACGTGAAAGGTGCTATATATAAGTAAATGTGTCATGTATTGTGTTCTACCAGTGTGAGAGCACATATTTCATTCCAGACACAGAGAAATTTCCATATGTAAATAGCATACATTTGTGGCACTCAGTCTGGTATGGATAAACTTGATTGCTTTCTGGACCCCACAACGTGGATTGTGGTTAACTGTTGAAGTCTAACCAGCGAAAACCGCATGGCCTGCTATGCAGAGCACTATCTGGCAAGCTTTCCCATTGCTTGTTCTAGCTCGGACCACCCTACCCTTTAAGGCCTCGGTTTGCAGTAAAGGGAATGTGAAGAGTCCCTGGCCCAGTGACTGGTCTGCCCTTCCAAGTTCTGCCAATGAGCCAGGCTGTGCTGTCATCAGCAGTGACCTGGAGTACTGCAGACCCACCTGGCTAGTAACTGGAAAAGAGACTGCACGAGGGTTGGCTAGATTCTGTTGCCAAATATGTCGCCTTGATAGTCCAGCTCCAAAGAGACCTTGCCTCTCCCCCTCCCCCTCCAGGAGGATAGTGACTAGTTGGTGATTTGATGTCCGACAAGCGCGGGTTTGAGCCCTCACTAAGTGAATGGAAGGAATCAGGAACTCCCTGCGAGCTTCCTGGTGGGCAGCACATCTCAGCATGAAATGTGTGAGAGGATTGCTGCCATCTTCCTGTCCACAGCACGGGCACACCTTCCTTTCCATCGAGCGATGGTTCTACCAGTTGTATAAAATCAGCGTAGTTTCATAATGTGATAATTAATTCAATTTGAAGTTGAGGAAATGATAACAATTATTAAAACTTTAATAATTACAGTTTTATCTGAAGGATGTCATGGCTTTCACCAAAACTGAGTGCTGCATACAGATGACTGGGAGCCTGAGTTGGGGATGGGGTGGGGAAGCTCAGCAGGGAGGGGGGATTGACTGAAATCACAGTTGAAAAATAGGTCTTAAGTCAGAAAAAGCAGAGAGGAAGGAAACGAGGCAAAAGGACTCGGTGGAGTCCCTGATCAGAAATCAGGGGTGAATGACTGAAAGTTTGCCCACCAATGGTTCAGGTGGGGACATGAAGCAGGCTGGTGTTTACTGAGTGGAGGGAGCAACAGAGGCAGGAAGGTTACAGGATGTCCCAGAGGTAATGTTGGGCCATGGAGGGATATGAAAGTGAGTCCATAAAGAAAGGAATCTGTACAGGAAATCCATAACTGACCCCTCCACTCTAATTCTGCATTATAAAAACAATTGTGAAAGGGTAAAATATATATTTGTATATTTCCTGGCATTTAAGAGAAAAGCGATTTTTATTATCAAATAAATTGCACCTACCTTCTAGAAACTTTCTCAATATGGTGTCTGTGCTGGTTGGAACAAAGCAATCTGGTTGATGCAGAGATGGCTGTTTACCCCCACTTAGTTTATGCATTGACTCGTCTGCAAAGACAAAAGTATCGACATACAATTCCCCACAAAATACTAACATGCGTTTCTGAAAATGAGGCAATCTTCAGTCAGATTGGTTAACGTTTAATTGGAATCATAGAATGTTTGAAGCACATAAGGAGATCATTTAAATTGTACAATGAAATCCAGCTGACAGCAGCTCTGAGCCAGTTAAGAGATCCTGGCAAGATACCTGAAGCTCCCACGTCGAGAGCATAATGTGGAGCAAACCATTCCATCCACACACTGCGCACAATATTTTCTAACATACTAGTTTCCAAACCTGATAATCGTCTGAGGAGTATTCCTACCAAAGTCAAATCAACCAGAACACCCATTTGATCTTGCATTCCACATTATGCACCTTAGATAGTTTGTATTTGGATTCAGTGTTTCAGGAACTATCCTGTACTTGTGGTTTCCAACATGATTCTTCTTACTTCTTATTCATATAAACTTTTCTGCTGCTAATCAGATATCTGTCCTACACGGTTATAAGGATACCTGGTTATAAGCCACACGCACACACTTTATGAGAACACAAGATGGTATTACAGGTCAAAGTAAATTCACTTAATAAATTCTTACATTTTCATCAACTACAACTTGCATTTATTTTAATATTTTTCACATAGGATCACATCCTGGAAGGCTTTTACTCAGTGTTGTTAATTAACAAATACATTTTCATTACTTTTCATCGATCCGCGACTGTGTATACACTGCTGTGCCCAATTGGCTGATGATGACAGACCAGCCAGCCTGGTCATCAGCTTGATTTGAAGGTAGCAGGGAACTTCCGACTCAGCTCCTGTTAACCACACGAGTCAAAGCCCCAACAGACAGGGTGGTCCTAGCTGGACAAGCCAAGTGACAGGAAGCTTGGAAGACAGTGCTCTCAATGGCAAGCTATGCAGTTTTGGCTGGTGAAACTGCAGCAATACCCTGATGCACCCACTGGGATCCCAAGCCTTTGCTCTGGCAAACCTGTACCTAAAGCTGCTTAGAGAGTGCGCGCACTCCAGACCAGTACATCCAAGGAAATTTTCAGGCATATATTTGTTTTGGATACTCATAACAATGGTGATGGATTCCACATGCGTCAGACACTCAGCTGACAAACAAATACATTGAAGAACTAGTTTCTAAACTAACATTGAATTTAAGAATTGTCCACAATTCTGAGGGATCTTAAATTTTAAGACCAAATGGTCTAAGTAGGCAAAGGCTAAGTAGGTGGAATTTCAGGCCTACAATGTCCACGTACAAGTGGGAAGAAGTCATATATGCCTCAAACAAGTAACTAAATATCATGGTTTACTTTAGATTAAGAATAAATAAAAGTGACTAAATGAATCTATGGGACTGGACAAATGAGATCTGAAGAGCGAATGCAGAGACTGGTAATGTTTACAGTGGAGAAGAGACGATTAAAGCCATTTCAATGAAAGTCTTTCATATGCTAAAGATTGTAGACAAACTCAGCTCCAATACCTTATTCAATACAGTCATGCAGTCCACAAGGGATCACAGTCTCAAACTCTGAAGGAGGAAAAAGATCATTTCGATGGAACGAGTTAACCAGAGGAAATAAGTGGAACTCTTTATCCAGGGAGCAGGGGGGCAGAAAGGGTGGACAGTTCCAAGAGGGAATTTGATGGGTTTTGAGGAAGGCAGGAAATAGGGAGAAATGGAATGCCAAAATGAAACAAGTCAGGAAAACAATAGTTGTCTCTTCTGGTGCTATATTTCTAAGCTTTCCGAAGTTAGAACTGTTCAGTGCTGGCTTAGTTTCAGTGATTGTATCTCAGTGTCCTCACTCTGATTGAGGAAATAAAGAACACTGAACCATCAGTAACAAGCAATCGGTTTTATTACGTTTATCACGTCCAGAGACTGTTAACAATATGCAAAGCTTAGATTTGGATTAGAACCAACAAGGGAAAAAAATTACAAACTGATTAACAGTTTAACTAATCATAATCAATTCAGGTAATTTAAGTTTAATTCTGCTCAGAGTTTGCTACTGAATTTGAATGGTGCGTGGACTCACATGTGCTCTCTGTTACCCCTGCTGAGGGAAGCATTCCAATCATGGACTCGTATATATCCTCATCACAGCCTGGATTTAAACTGCATTTCATCAATCGGTTAGCTGTCGCCATGGACTCATATAAGTCCTCATCCTCAGCGCTCTGTGTGTTCCCCCACAGTTCCTCCTCAATGTGAGTCTTCAGCAGGTCTGCTGTCTCCTGTGAACAACAGTTTCAATGGTTATGTGCTTTATTTTTTATGAAGAGTGCGCAATCCAGGACCTTGACATACCTGAGACTGGCCCAATAGGCTAAGAGGTTGAAAACCACCAAACTCTCTGGTAAAGAATAACTAAAGTGTTTGAAAGTCAAAACTTGTAAGCACAAAGACAGTTTGAGAAATCAGCCATACTGTGGAGTCCCACAGCACTGTGGTGAGAGCACTTGCCTAGCAAGCAAGAGGACCCGGGTTCGATTCCTGGGCAGGGCAAAACATTAAGCAAGTTTCCTTACTCCGCATGCCTCTACTTATCTAGCAATATGTAGGAACCTGGTTGTTAGTCGATTGGTGGATCTGTTTATGGGGATAGTAATCCCTCCAAAAACAATTTGGTCACTCAGTCCAAGACTGTTTGTGGGATACTACTGTGTGCAATTGACTACCGCATTTCACCCATTTTTTAAAATAGTTTTCACAAATTAATTTAGTGGCTTGGCTTTACACAGGGTAGCATAAGCCTACCAGGTTCATGCATGAAGAAAGTGTATTTCATAAGGTTAAATGCCTCTGTACAAAAAATATAGGTTTTTGTTGAATTGATGAACAGAACAAAATAGCCATGATCCAAGGATCAACTGAACCCCCTGTAAAAAAATTTATTTAGGCACAAGGGAAATGGTGTTTCTCTCTCCCAGTGTCTTGGTCAACAATCTACCAAATAAAATTAACCATAAACTCCATGGCTGTTGGTAAGACATATCTGTACGTAAATTAGTTGCTGCATTCGCCTACAAAATACAGTTACTCCACTTTGTAGCATTTCCTGTGAAGCATTTTGACGATGTTCTAAGGATTTAACTATCATGTGAATACAGTATAGCGCTATTAGAATGGCTGATTTATTTTTAATACTAATGATGAGTTGACCCCATTCACTGCATATGCGCATAGTTAGCTGGCTTGAATCCCAGGTACCGGCCAGTTCACATACTAAAAAAAACAGACTTTGTGGTCATCAATTTGCTGCTTTCATGTCCTGCAGGCTGAGTATGCACAGTACGTGTGAAATTGAATAAGCAATGACATGGCCAAGAAAGAAGTCAGTTTTTTTTAGTGCAGGAAATGGTCAACATGAGTTACCAAAGCAGCTGGCTGCTACAAACCAACTTGTTGTAAACTGGGCTGAGATCTTATGGTTTCCACTCATCGCATTTGATGTAGTTAAGCCAATTTATTTTCAGTGACTATGACTGAGTGAAGACTCTTTCCTTTAAAGAAGACTTGTATAAGACCTTAGTTAGGCCAGTATTGTGGAGTGTTGTGTACTGGTTGGGGCACTCCATTATAGGAAATGATTTTAAATGATTCGTCTGGCTAGATGAGCTAGAAACTATTCCTGCGACTGTTAATGAGATGTTAATAAGACTGTCAATGCAGGCCCATTGACAATGTGAAACATGACCAGATCCAGCAGTTTGTGACATTAGCTGTGAGACTTGTGAAATTTGTGAGTTGTCACAACAGTGCAGGGGTTGGTGTTACTTCCCGTGGGTTGATGATAAATGCTTTTACATTGATCACATAGAATCAACTCTGTACTGATGATTCTTTTTCTTGAACCATATATAATCCCTCCAAAAAAATAAAAAGAACAATAAATTGGTCATTTTCAATCCACGACTGTGTATGGGACACTGCTGTGCGCAATTGGCTGCCGCGTTTCCCCCACAAATATACAGTCAATTCACTTTACAGTCTATTCTGTGAAGCACTTTGAGGTGTCGAGAAGACGTGAAAAGCGCTATATCAAACGCAAGGATTATTATATTATTATTTTTCTTGAACCAAGCCTTCTGCATGTACTTTCACATCCACTGCTGTGTGTAATTAGCTGCTGCATTTCGCCCGCAAAAAAACACACAGTCAATCCAGTTTACAATATATTCTGTGAAGCGCCTTATCAGGTCATCAAGATGTCTCAAAGCAATTTACAGAATATATTGTAAAGTGGATTGATTGTGCATATTAAGGGTGAAATGCGGCAGCCAATTGCGCACAGTAGTGTCCCATAAACAGTGGGACACTGTTTTTTTTAAAAAGGCTTTATTACCCGGAAAGCGATTAACAACAACTTGCATTTATATACCGCCCCTCATGCAGGGTAGTATCCCAACATGATCATGATCAGGAAATTGAAAGTGAGTAAATTATTTGCAGTCAGTTTTGACCAAAATTGGCCGACCTCAAAGTGATGGGGGTGGGAAGGGTGGTGAAGCAGAGATCACAAAAAACGGTATTGGACACCGGATATGCATGGACACTTATCATGTTGTTGAGACATCTCAAAGCACTTCACAGAATATACTGGAAAGTGAATTGACTGTATATTTTGTGGAGGAAATGTATGTCTATCTACATACTATAGATAGGAACACACGATCATATCTAAGGCTTACTATCCACCTTGATTGCTGCACAGAGAGATAAGCACCTGCTACCAAAGCTTCTCACTTCCAACTGGTGGAACCATCAATTATTGGGTAGGGACGAGTGTCTCGGTTGAGGGTAGTGAGGATGGTGGCAATGGCTAACACATTTCATGCTAAGTTGTGGTGCTCAAACAGATGATTGCGAGGAATTCCTGGAATTTATTATCCACATAGTGAGGGCTCAAACCCGCGCTCGTTAGATGTCAAATGACCGACTAGTTACAATGCTCCTTGGCGGGTGGGATGTCCTTGGGGTTGACCTGCTTCCAACGTGATGCTTAGTAATGAAACGTCAAAATTGAATCGACTCTCAACAGTCCGTTTGCTAAGCCAGGCAGGTCTGCAATCCTACAAAGTGCTGTTGGTGACAGGACTTGGAAGAGCAGACACTGGAGACAGGGAATCCACTCAGCTCCTGTTAACCCTGCAAACCAAACCCTAACGGGTAGGGTGTTCCTAGCTGACACGCATCGAGAAGCTTGCTTGACAGCGCTCACAATGGCAAGCTGTGCAATTTTAGCAGGTTAACCATTATTACCAGCTCTCGCCAACTTGTGCCTAATATTCTCTGTAATTTGGTGAGTGGGGTGTGTCCCTCTGGGGAGAGAGCGTGCATTCCATTCCAGACATAGGGAAATGTTTAAGAAATGTAAATGTATCTCTTGGTCTGAAATGGATACTCTTAAATATTGTGATGGGTTTCTGCGCATACAAAAAAAAGGGACAACAACAAATTACATTTGCATAGTGCCTTTCACGTCAGGAGGACGTCCCAAGGCGCTGGACAGTCAGGGATCCACACTCGAGCTGGTGGTTGGGATCGAGAACATTAAAATGGCTACTCTCAACGTCCTTACCACATATTCATCTATGAACTGCCTGAGGTCCCTGTAGCCGCTGCGTTCGGCCAGGCTGTTTGGATAGTCTCCGTTCCGGTTGGCCACGCTGTAGGCCTGCAGGGCCCCAGGACACTGCAGCAGCAGAGCAGTCAGGTTTTTCAAACCGTACTTGGCAGCAAAGTGAAGTAATGTTGGTAGCTCTTCATCTCGTTGAGCTGTGCAGAAACATGACACTGATGTGATACACACGCAACTTCCAGCAGATTTCAGAAGGAAAAAAATTTTTACTAAATAAACTAAATATGCAGATTAAAACTCCCTCTGCACTGTCCACCTAGTACTTATCCAGGAGGGACGACACTACCCATTAAGGGCTTTGGTTCGCAAGAAGCCAAATATAGGCTTTCAAGTCTTCTTGGAGTTATGGGAGAGCTCCTTTGCTTTGCCAGACATGTTTCCTCAGTGCTATTTCATCCACATGTGAACTCCCCTAGGATATAAAAGGTAAAATTCCCCCAGGATAAATTTAGATATATTGAAAAGCAAATGACTGTTGAAAGATAATAATTAACTTTCAATGTAACTCTCAAATGAACTCCCCACTGCTTTTGCACAGTGCTCAGCACTCCTCTACCTGCCCAATGTATTTCTCCCTTTCTATTACTGGAACAGTTTCTCTTTGCTTTATAGTTATATTACCAGCACAAATGTTCTACGTGGGAGATACTGTTGGCAAATACTGTTCTAGGCTATGATAGACAGCACAATTGACATTTCAGTGTGTCTTGGTTTACATTTCAAATTTTTAAACAAGAGAAAGCAAATAAAATCTATCCAGTAACAGATTAACCAGGCAGTTAGGGAGTTTACTGGCAGGAAACAGATCGAAGCATAAAGACATTGCCAAGAGAAATCTAGCAAAGATGGTATTCACAATGCATGGCTTTCAATCATTAGGTAAAACTATTAATTAGTACAACTTGCACTTATATAGCACCCCTCCACGCAGGGTAGCGACTCACAGCGCTTAACTGTGGCGGAGCTTGACTCCGAGCCAGGGGGTGGGGAGATCTTTAAAAAAGGGGAGAGGGGGGCGGGCAAGGTAAAGGGATTGAGGGAGAGTGTTCCAGAGTTTCGGGGCATAGTGGCTGAAAGTGCGACCTCCAATGGTGGAGTGGAGGGTGCAAGGGACAAGCAGGAGGCTGGTGCCAGTCGAGTGGAGGTGCCGGTTGGTGGATTGGGGAGTGAGGTGGTGGAGAGGTAGAGAGGTGCCAGGGAGTGAAGGGATTTGAACACGAGTGTGAGGATCTTGAAATCGATCCGTTTGGTGATGGGGAGCCAGTGGAGCCTGGTCAGAACTGGTGAGATGTGGATACGATGTTTGGTCTGGGTAAGTATGCGGGCATCAGAGTTCTGAATGAGCTGGATCTTTTGAATAGTGGAGCTGGGGAGACCGATCAGGAGTTATAGAGATATTCATTCATTAAACAAAATAATATGTGCTTGAGATAAAACAAGTCATGGTTAAGTGGTTAAAAATGGGATTTTAAAAACCTGTAGATTATAATAAAGGACATGAACCAGGACAATGAAGAAATAGGACAAAAGGAAAAGGTTTGAATGGCCCAGTACAAATACATTCCCATATCTTTAACTTGAAAATTAAGAGTGATGAGTTCACCTGCAGACATATTCTCCTCCTCCAACTGGCTTATTCCAAAGACGTGCAGTCCATTTGCTGGGATATTCTTCCGCAGTGACTCCGTCAGTAACTTATCCAGTTTTTCTGTGTTATATGGTATAATATGGAATGCCTGCAGACAAGAAGAATGTATTTCTTATCTGAAAGGAGTGCATTTTTGAACATTTTTATTTGAAGGATTTTAGAACCTTTATTATAATAATTATCCTTGCATTTGATATAGCGCCTCAAAGCGCTTCATAGGATTTTAATGTGAAATGAAATGAATGACCGAGCACTAGAATAGGTTAAATCCAGATTAAGTTCTCTTCAGTCCTACTCGTATGCAGTGCTAGGAGACCACTATGTTGTTGAAGGTGAAGTTCTCAGGTAGAACATTAACCCACGGTACTGTCTGTGTATTCTTCATTAAGATACTGTCCACTATCCGAAGGCTAAAGGAATTTTCTCCGGTGTCCTGGCCAAGAATTTTTTTTAGATAAACTGGTCAATCATTCATCTGTTGTGAAGCTTTGTTATGAGAAAAATGGCTGCTGTATTTTCTGCAAAAAACAATAAGTGCATGATACTGCTTAGTGTGAAGTGTTTAAGCACTCTGGAATGCTACCCCGCTCAGGGGCGCTATATAAATGCAAGTTGTTGTTTGTTGAAGCACTTTCAGACGTCCGCATATTGCTGGGCAAGTTGTGTGTTTCCTCTGAGCTCTTCATTGGCCATTTGTGAGGTCTCTCATGAATTCTTGTCCTGGGTTTAATATTCCTTCAATTCTTCCTACGACAATGTCCTCACTTTATCCTTTGTGGTGTACTATACACCCATGTCTACTCCGATTTGTGCACTACTTTGCCTTTTCTCCATTTCGTTTTGCCTGCTGCATGTTTCTGGAACCACATATTTTGTCCTTTCTTCAGAACATCCTACTTTGTCACTTTCTGCTTCAGTAATGCTTTGTTTCCTGACAGGATGGTCCTCATTTACAACACCATCAACGGCTGGGCCAGCGATCGGAGTCCTGCCCCTTGTGTGCGTTCTGATATTCCATCATCACAAGATATCAGTCGTCCTCCCACCTCCTAGGTTCTTTAGCTTTTTTTATTGTCTGGATCACTCTCTCCACTAACCTGCTACTCTGGAAGTAATGCAGCAATTACATCACATGTTTAATGTTCCATTCCCCACAGGATTTTTCGTTTTAGTGCCAAGGCAGGACTTTTAAGAATCTTGGGACATTATTGCTGATGTGAAAGGTAATATATATATGTAAATTTGTATTGCAATTTGTGATGTACTCCGCTGATCACAGAGTCCTGTAGTGGAGTGGTTCGCAAGCTTGCCTCGCAAGCAAGAGGACACAGGTTCAATTCCCGGAGCTGGGCGAAACCTTAGGCAAGTTTCCTTACTCCACTTGCCTCTGTTTTCTAGTAGTAAGTTGAAGCCTGTTGGTTAGTCGATTGGTGGTTTGCTTTCCCTCCCCTCAAAATAAAATGTGGTCATTTTCAATCCATGACTATCTGTGGGATACTGCTGTGCGCAATTGGCTGCCGCGTTTCGCCCACAAATATACAGTCAATTCACTTTACAGCATATTCTGTGAAGCGCTTTGAGACGTCCAGAAGCACTATATCAAATGCAAGGATTATTATTAGTATTATTATAAGTTCATCCAATCAGGAAAACTCAGCTATACATTCACAGAACAGTAGCATTCAAACCCAAGACACTCAACCATAGACAACCACCCACAGGACACCACAAATTCACTGAACCCCACCCACGCAAGCCAATTATAGATTGTTACAGAAAGTGAAATTGAACCGCTTCTCTAAGCCCTATCTGGCTATTGCTTTTCCCAATGTGGTGCTGTTGTTGATGCAATTTTTAGATAAGAAGTCAGAACTGTGCAAAATTAATGTTCCAAATAAAATGGCTCATTGGTTCTTTATTTACTGCCTGGAATCATGCAATTGCCTACTGCCTTAGGCAATTATACAATTATAAATATAAGAGTTTTACTGTATTAAGGCATATTTATCTGTTGTACAGTTTATGTCTGGTACATTAAATATTAAACAACTTACCTGGCACATGAACTCCACAGGGTTAGTAGCTTTCTGCAGAATATTCTGAATTTCCTCCATGTCAGTGTAGTAGGTTATTGTGGCAAAACTTACTTTCAGATTTCCTGAGTAAATGCTGAGTGAAACAGATCCAGGAGGCAAATCTGTCCAAACCAAAGCAAATGAGGCACGTGTTCAAGATTGCCATAAGCAGTAAAACTCACATAAGTCACATCATTCGGGACCATAACATTTAATACGATTTACGCAAATTATGAGTTTCAGGCAAATTTGTGTAAATTGCATAAAATCCAATTTAATCAATAGTATACACTGTGCATGTGCACTTCAATGCAGCTGGTAAGTGTGCAGGTGTCGACGGGTCAGAACTTTATTTGCCACGATTCATCGTAGGCCAGTAAATGAGGTAGCGGTGGTACAAGTTAGGAGATGATTTGCTTTTTAAAATATGCCTAAGTGCAAAGAAATCGTAAGTGTTTTTCTTGGTAGGAAACTGAATGGGATTCAAGTGCATGTACGATTTAGGCAATTATATGATTTATAAATATAAGAGTTGTATTACTGTATTAAAGAAAAAACCCATGAAAAAACCTTTTGTGTTAAAGGTTTAGTAAATAATACCACCACTTTCAGCTCTGTCCCAAATCTGCTGACTTATCCTATAGATTCTTTAGTTCTTCCTCACACCCTGCTTTCCCAATTCCGAAGAGTATTAGGCACAAGATGGCAAGAGCCAAGGACCCCATAGTGTGAGTCATATGCAAGCACACACCTGAAAGGTAAGAAACTAATAGAAAAAGCATTTCTGGTTAAACGTTTAAGATGTACCTGGAGCTTGTGCAGCCATGGTGTACTCATTGATGAGTACAGCTGGTATCCGTACAGAGGGTTGGTTTTTCAATGTAAATTCTAGTTCACTTTTCACTTCGTAGTCCAATTTGATCTTCATAACAATAAAAATTTGCGTTGCGACCTGAAATCCAGAGAAATATTTTTAAAACGCAATCTATTTTTATTATTATCATGGAATCATACAATCATACAGCACAGAAGGAGGTCATTCGGCCTATCGTGTCTGTGCCGGCTCTTTGAAAAGAGCTATCCAAATCAATCCCACTCCCCCGCGCTCTCCCCATAGCCCAGCAAACTTGTCCTCCCCAAATAATTATCTACTTCTCTCTTAAGAGAGAAAATATTGTAGTACTTTCCTTCTTGCATATCACACCGCCTGCTAAACACCTTTCATAATAACAATTGTTTTTGGTATAGCATCTTATCATGTTGTCCAGACATCATAATAATCATCAACAATAATCATCCTTGTCACAAGGGCATGAAAGGCGCAATACCAAATGCAAGATGATTATTGTTGATTATTATTACCCCAAAGGCTTCCCAGGATTTACTATAAATAATGCAGTAAATATCTACATATTTACAAGACTGTGGTTGTGTGTGAACACCGCAGCCAATTTGTGCACAGCAATGTCCCACATTCGCAAAATGAATGATTGATTTTTATTTGGGGAGATTGTTGGCCAGGACATCGGAGAAACTTCCTTCTCTTTTTGAATAATGCCACCAGATCTTTAACATCCACCTGAACTGGCAGACGGGATTTCGGTTTAACATCTTATCCGACCTCCAACAATGCAACACTCCCCCAGCACTGCATTGGAGGGAATATGTCAGTTCAAGTCCCAATGTGGAGCTTGAACCTACAGCCTTCTGACTCGGAGACAGAAGTACTACCGCTGAGCCAGGCTGACACACACAGCTCACATTGATTTTTTACTGTAAATAATAGTGACTGTGCATTTGTAGGCAAACATTGCAAACAATCTGCACGTTGGTGCAATTGCCAATGGTGGGGCAGGCGAGGCGGGTGACATGACTGCCTTCTTCAGGCGATTAATCGGGTTGGATATAGCCAACGATATTCCAGGTTACACAAGACTGTGGAAGGAGCGGGTTTAATGGTGTTTAGCCCTTTCGAGCTGTCTTACATTCTTATTTATATGCTTTACTACATAAAAACCTGAATTTAACATTGCGCTTCAACTTTCTCATGCATAGAAATTCTTGAATTTCTTGAATCCCAAATTAACAAATCAAATCAAGTTAATCATTATATGAACTGCTTGTTACCTTTACACTGTTTGTGGAACCTTGCTCTGCATGAATGGTTGCTATGTCTGCCTATAAAAACAGTTACTGCACACAATGATCATTGTTTCTGAAGTACAGTACTTTGGGACTCTACCCTGCGTGAGAAGGCGCTATATAAATGAAAGTGATTGTTGTACTTTACAATTTGCCAACATAAAAAAATACAAATGTCTCACTTCTTTATCTTTACCTCCTAACTGCTGTTACTCAGTTTCTTGCCATTTTAAATTACTGCAGTTCTGTTTTTACCTACTTCACTATTTTTTTAAATGGTCACAGTGCACTATTATTGTACATTTAGCTATGATAATGGTTATGACAAGAGGGCTTTTCTAAAACTACATATTTTATTATAAAATTGAGCCATTTATAAGAACAAAAGTGTTTTACGGAACAGATTTTTTTTTGAGGGCTAGCACACCCATCCCTTTTTGATTCACAAACCAGCCACCACATCCTATAATCCATTCTCTATCCAACAATATAGCTAGTTGCCTCTTGAACACACAGCAGGACTTTGAGCTCACAGTCTAGACCGACACCACAATGCAATGCTGGGGGAGCTCTGCATTGTTGGAGGTGCTGTCCTTCGGGTGAGAGAGATGTTAAACGGTGGTCCATTCTGTCTGTTCAGGTGGATGTTAAAGATCCGTGGGATATTTGAAAAGAGAAGGGAGTTTCTCCCGGTACCCTGGCCAACAATCCCCTATATAAAATAAGTCACCCGTTCCATAACTGTTTGTGGGACATTACTGTGTGCAAATTAGCTGCTGCATTTATCTACAAGAAACATAGTAACTACACTTCACAGTAAATCCTATGACTTCCTCCTGATGTGAAAGGCTGTGTATCAAATGTAAGCATTGTTATTTTTAATTTACACAGTCGCTGCCTGAATTACTTTCTATGGTAACAGCTTAATTTCACACACCCATTACCCTTTGTGTTAAGATGGATTCACTCCTCACTTCTAACCCGGTAATGTTTACTTTGTATTCCTTGGTGTTGGTACTGTTTGCTATTGGGCACAAGTTCCCAGTCCATCTACTTCCGCATCATCGTTCTGTAAACAGCTAAGCCCAATTTTCAGTAACTCTTAAGAGCTGATAAGAACTTCATTGCTCACCTTTGCTCCTCCCAACAACCCTCACCCCCCCCACCCGATACTGTCCTAGATTAGGTGAGCCAAATTGTATATAAAACTCCAGACAGAAACTGATCAGTGCATTTACAGCAACAACAGAACCGCTCTCATGTTATACTTTATTGTTTTCCAATGCAGCCCAATACAGTATACCATACTTCTTAAACTATAGCCAAGCACCGGGCGGGTGATTGTAATGAGATACATAGCTGGGATGTATTCCTTGTGTTAATAACCAACCTACCCCGCACTGGATCCTGTCAGGCAATACTTTTACTGTGAATTCTTCGGTCTCCCCTGAAGATGCCAAACAATGTTCCCTTGACCGCTCTGTTACATTAGTCCGTGTTTTGTGGTGTGGATCAAGTTCGGGTTCGGTGTCAGCTGCAGTATCACATCCAGAGTCTTTACTGTAACCTAAAAGAGGAAGAAATGTTTTCTTAAATACTTAAAAGGGGTCCAAATCCAATGAAGAGGACATTGTTCATCGCCATCAGTCCAAAGACAGACATTTTGAATCTAATACCTTATTCAGTATGATCAAGACATCCAAAGGAAGGGGCCCTCATCTCAAGCCTACAAGTGGAATAGAGTTATAGTAATAACAGCACAGAAGTGATCAATTTGCTCCTGATACCTGGTTGTGTTTGCTCCTCCACTGTAGCTCTCTACTCTAACCCCATTCCCCTGCTCTTACTCCACTGTGTCTGTGTCGCTGCTAGCTCCCTCAAAGTAAACTGCAATTTAATACTATAATTTATTCTCTCTCTTCAACAACAACAAATTTATATCTGTATAGCGCTTTTCAAGTTGGGAGGATGTCCCAAGGATCTCCTCCTGACATGAAGTCCTAAACATATTCTATTTTAATTATAAATTAAGCTTCAAAGAGTGGCATTTAATAGTTGAGTTAAAGGGAAATTTCTCTCATTATCGAGGAATGTACACGATATGTTAATCACTGCCAGTAAAATATAGCAACAAGGTATAAAAATAATCCAACTGATGTTTAACGACCTCTGCAAGAGTCATAAAAAGATCTTTTATAAGTATACCAAAACTAGTTTTGTACTAAACTACTTTTAGTGCAAAATTACTAAAAGGGTTAAAAATCCCATCTAAACCCCTAAATCACTTTCGGAATCTCTTTGCAATAGTAGTTCCCCATTTAGTAATTGCTAATCCAAGAAATGAAAGCGCATTTTACTTTCCCATTACTGTAAACATTTAATTCCAGCTCAAGAACTGTTCAGATTAGATCAAACTACGTGTCCAGCACCCTATACAGGTACTTCCTCATTCATTTCAACAATAGTCAAAGAAAGCATCTGTCTTTAGAAATCAACTGACATCTCCTTGCAGAGAGTTCATGATAATAATAATAATAAAAATCCTCGCATTTGATATAGCGCTTTTCACGTCGGGAGGACGTCCCAAAGCGCTTCACAGATCACACTGTAAAGTGAATTGACTGTATATTTGTGGGCGACCGCGGCAGCCAATTGCGCAAAGCAATGTCCCACAAGCAGTCGTAGATTGAAAATGACCAATTTATTATTGTTTTTGGAGGGATTATTATTAGGCTCTGTGTGGAGTAAGGAAACTTGCCCAAGGTTTCGCCCTCTGCCTGGAATTGAACTTGGGTCTCTCGCTTGTAAAGCGAGTGCTCTAACCACTGAGCTACAGGACTGATCTTGAATTCCAGGTCCAAATATACCATTACTTGAAGAAACAACAGTTAAAGGGCAGATTTTATGTCAGAATGAATTGGGAGGTGTTAAAGTGCCAAGGTACACCATTGCCATTCATCATAATACTAATAATCCTTACATTTGATATAGAGCCTTATCACGTCATTGAAATGTCTCAAAGCATTTCACAGAATATAATGTAAAGTGAATTGACTAATATTTTGTGGCAAAACACGGCAGTCAATTGCGCACTGCAATGTTCCACAAACTAGTATGGATTAAGTGACCAAATTATTATTATTTTATTTATTTTTGAAGGGATTATTACCCCTGGAAAAGTGATCCACCAATCGATTAATAACTCGGAAGCAGTATACTGCAGATGTTGGAAATCTGAAACAAAAACAGAAGTCGCTGGAAACACTCAGCAGCTCAGGCAGCATCTATGGAGAAAGGAAAGTGAGCCAAAGTTTCGGATCCAGGACCCTTCGTCAGAACTGGGGCATGTTGGGAGGGGATAGGCTTTTATGGACTAACAGCGAGGGGGGATGTAGGGCAAGGAAGATAAAGGAGAAAATGGAGTAGAGGACAGGAAGATGATGGGTGTTAAATAGGTGTTAATGATGCAAAACAAAGTGGGGGATTGCAACAAAACAGGGGAAAAGAGGGGTTATTAATGCAAAGGGGGGGAACATTGGACCAAAATAGGCAGACCAGAGAGAGAAAAAAGGTGTGTCTGGGACCCAGATGATATGGTAATGGCCACAGAAGAGGGGGAGGAGGAAGGTGAGCTGTTACGGTCTGAAATTACTGAAATCAATATTGAGACCAGTGGGCTGTAAGGTCCCTAGCAGATAGATGAGGTGCTGTTCCTTGAGCTTGCGCTGTGGTTCATTGGATCAACGTAGGAGAGCATGGATGGAGAGGTCAGAGTGCGAGTGGGAGGGAGAGCTGAAGTGGCAACAAACCGGAAGCTCAGGGTTGTGCTTGTCGACAGAACGGAGGTGTTCGGCAAATCGGTCACCCGATCTGTGTTTGGTCCCCTCAGTCTGCATTTGGTTAATCCAGATTAACAACTGAGCTCCAATTTACTGCTAGGTAAACAGATGTGCGTGGAGTAAAGAAACTTGCCCAGCGTTTTGCCCTGCCCGGGAATCGAACCCAGGTCCTCTCCCTTGCGAGGCGAGTGCTCTAACCACTAAGCTCTGTACTCTAAATTTAGGAGGAAGGGAAGACAGGGAAATGAGGAGTTCCATTGACTTGAGGGCCTGGAAAAAGAATGAATTAATTCTGAGAGAGTTGCCAAGGAATGGAATCCTAAAGTTGTTAGAGCAGAACTGATTAGGGTATTTACAAAAAAANGAGAAGCAATGCAGAGGAAGGGTATGCCAAGTACAGTATATACACCATATCGAATTTGTGTTAGCATATATTTAGTTTAGATAACTAGATACACTATATATAACCTTGGTTAGAGTGCACATGGAGAATAAAAGCAGAGAGGTCCTATTTTGCTGGTGTTTGAATTGGTAAGCAACAACGACAACAACAAATTACATTTGTATAGCGCCTTTCACAGGTTCTGAACCTCACACACTCCCTTTTACTTGTGGAAATACTGCAAATGTCTGCCCAAAATTTTACTGAAGGGAAACACAGATTGCAAGGTGTTATACTGTAGAATTATAATACATTTCCTGTTTCCGGTCTAATGGTAAATTTAGCAGCTGGCAGGTGACTCATCCATGGCCCTACCCTCAAATGAGCCAAAGAGTGACCAGATCTTTAGCAAAACCCGACCACAGGGGATTTCCAGGAGCACCTGCTAGTCAAACCAACTCAGTATGCAAGTCAATAAGGTCTCTGGTTCTATCCACAGCACATGTTCAGTTAACTCCTCTCAGTCGGTCAGAGAAGCAGTAGAAAGACCACAGTTGACGTCTCCCCCCCCATCGCTCTCTGCCTGCTTAGGCAAACGTGTGAAAATCAGCCACCAAACCCTATAAAAACAGGTAAAAGTATAAAGTGGACCACACAAATACAGTCACTGGTCAGTATACGCATGAAGCACATGTGTCCTGTGGCTCAGTGGTCAGAGCACTTGCGTCGCAAGCGAGAGACCTGGGTTCTATTCCTGGTAGGGCAAAATGGTGGGAAAGTTTCCTTACTCCACACGCCTCTGTTTACCTAGAAGGAAGTAGGAACCCGGTTGTTAGTTGATCGCTTTTCCGGGGATAATAATCCCTCAAGTAAAAAAAACAATAATAATTTGGTCACTCAATCCACAACTGTTTGTGGGACACTGCTGTGCGCAATTGGCTGCCGTGTTTCGCCCACAAATATACAGTCAATTCACTTTACAGTATATTCTGTGAAGCCCTTTGAGATGTGTAGAAGACCGAAAGGTGCTATATCAAATGCAAGGATTATTTTTTATTATTATTTGAACCAAGAAACTCCTAGGTTCAATCCTCAGTTGGTGCTGAATTAACAGATCTACCATATAATAAATAATCCTTGCATTTGATATAGCGCTTTTCACGTCGGGAGGACGTCCCAAAGCGCTTCACAGAACACACTGTAAAGTGAATTGACTGTATATTTGTGGGCGAACGCGGCAGCCAATTGCGCACAGCAATGTCCCACAAACAGTCGTAGATTGAAAATGACCAATTTATTATTGTTTTTTTTGGTTTTGGAGGGATTATTATTAGGCTCTGTGTGGAGTAAGGAAACTTGCCCAAGGTTTCGCCCTCTGCCTGGAATTGAACTCAGGTCTCTCACTTGCAAAGCGAGTGCTCTAACCACTGAGCTACAGGACTCCACAGGAGTTGGAGTACTGTAGCTATGAAAGAGTTAGAGATGGGAAATCAACCACTCTTGCTAGCTATCAAGTGTCCCACTTTTTGAGTATTAATGCAATTAAGGCAATTAAGAACAGATTAAGGCTGCCTCAATAGTTAGCTTGACAGCAATACTTGAGAGAGATACTGATGGTAGGCTGGGGGGCCATGTAACCATATCCAAGCAGCATGAGTACTGGAAGCCTGAGTAGAAAGGACCAAAAAGTCTAAGGTACGCAAGGAAACTGTACACCAGAAGGGGCTTGGGGGTTTGTACGGTTATTGAGGGTAGAACATGATTAGTGGAAGATGAATGAAGAATCTAAGAAGGGATGAATGTTAAATAGATTTGCATGCTTCTTCATAGAAAACATATGTCTGTGCAATTAGGGTCAATAACAAAAACAATTTGCACTTCTGTAGCAATTTACGTGCAGGAAAAATGTCTCAAATCGATTTACGGAAGAACCAGTCATTAACAGAAATGGACAATTAGAGCGGGGAAAAATTGTCCCACACAATTTCCTGTAACCTGACAAGTGTATCTTTGGTGACTGTGCTTGGTAGGAACTGAAAGAAACACAAGAAATAACACGAGTCTTAAACAGATTAGAAGTGCAATCAAAAAGACATTTTTTCACCGAGAGGGCTGTGAAAAGGTGAAACATCTTACCACAAAAGGTTGTAAATGTAAAATTGATTGGGATGATCGAAAGGGAGACAGAGCGACACTTGGGAAGTAAGGGTAATAAGAGATATGAGAGAAGAGGTGGGGAAATGGAATTAAAAGATTTGCCTTGACCAACTAAAATAATGGAACAGCTAAAACTATTTTGAGAATGTACATATGCTCCCGCAGTTCAAGATTCTTTTAGAATCCATA